ATTTTTCAGCTGTTTCTGTCGCATCTTGAGGTGATTTTTTTGTGTTATTATTTTCATTTGTTTCTCTTGTCTAGTAATGTTTTGGTGTTTGGGTGTTTGTTGTCATTGTTTTGGAGGTTTCAGGTCCCTCTCTGGAAAGAAGTCTGTCTTCTTGTTGAGTTGTCCGGTTCACTGGCTCTCTCTGTAGCTCTGATTGATTTATTAATCACTCCACCAATGAACTAACAGATAAACTGACCTTTTCATAGTCCCTGAGCACCCCCACCTTCTACCCCAAACCAGCTGAATCGATCATTTAATGGAACATCAAGGCCACACAGATTATTTGTCAGCGTTTTGTCATGCATGCCCTCATATCCCGAGAGGTCAATACATTGACCTTCTCTAAGGAGTGTGTAAACAACAAACAGACAGACTGAATGCCGTCATTAACCTCTGTCAGCACGTTAAAGAGCTATTTAGCCTGGAAGCTAACAAGGACGCTCGGACTGCTCCATTACTGACAGGCTGATGAGGCTCTGAGTATTTGCGATAAAACTAAAAATAAGCCAAGGCTAAAATGGATACATTCATAAGTGCATACAGTGAACACAAAATCTAAAGCAAACAGTATACTGTATACTGGCCCATCTCAGGCAGCTTCGTTTAATTTTTAAAAGGTTTTAAGGGATCCATGTATTCTTCTCAGTCTTGCTTCTAAAATATTTGTGTCATTCAAAAGCATGATGAGAATCAAATCAACTATTTTATTTTATTTTATTTTTGCTGGCCTGAAAGAGTTTATTTCGAGGCCAGAACTGTTGACTTGTTCGAATAATTGATATATGAGATCAAAAAATCACAATATATGCTAGGTTCAATGCCAGGGCTTAAACTTTGAATGGACCGCTGTAAATTTGGCTGGGCTTGTGGATTTCTCAAATTAAAACTATTCTCTATTCGTACACTATTTTTGATATTTGTAGGTACTTGTTGAAGTGACTTTCTGAAGCATTTCTCGTGTGGCGAGAGCTTTTTGTTCACCCCCAGTCATGATTATTATCATGCAAGCAAAACTCACAATGTAAGTATGTACTTATTACATCATATCATGCAAAAACAGAAGCGTAGTTTACATTTACAGTTCAAGGGCTTATAAACTTAAAATTATGATGCTAACACCAGAGGCAGATGTATTACTGCCAGAGTAACAGTTGCTACAGGAAAGCCCAGTTTGACTTTAGAGACTATAGAAAACCGATTGTGAATTTTGCTTATCCCAAAGCAGTGAGCGCCTACTCAGTAGTGCTAATATTTTAAACATTTAAACTGTCAGAAAGCATGATTTTACAAAACTGTAAATAAAGCAAGAGAGTAAAAGCATCAAAATTAAAGTTTCACAAATAATCTTTTTATGAGGTAATCTATCTCCAAAGATAAACACAAACTGGATCATTAATATTTGCTTTTACAGCAGGGTGTGTCCACTTCTGCAATCATGTCAGAGGAAAGGATAAACCAAAGTCTTTTGAAAAGTCTCCATGGCAGATGAAGGTTATTTTTGATTCCTTAATTGGACAGAATCACATGCAGAGATTGAGGGTACTTTCATCAAATCAAAAGTTCCCTTCACAAGGCTTGTGATGCTGATAAAACATAACTTTAGTTTGAACATCATTGGAAATGAATGTCTACGTGTCAGTAAGCGAGTTGTGTGTGAAGGTTAAGTTTATGCCCTCTTCCCTACCAATCAAAATTTGTAGCCTTTTTTTTTTTTTCCTAAAGATTTAATTATTCTAAGTTTTCCAGAAAGATTCATGCTCATTCATTTTGAGTTTTGTTCTGAGCTGCAGCTTATAGTTGATACATACTTAATATATCGTTAACACTTTACAATAACCATAACTTATAAATGATAAATAGACCATTTATAAATGGTAAGCAGAGAGTTGATTAATGTTTAATCATCATTTATAAATAGTATATAGACCATTAACAATTTTAAAAACCTAACCCTAACTTTACAATAACCATCTAAGTAATGTTTGTAGATGGTTTAAAAAACAAGTTTTAACCATTTACAAAGAGCTACTGACACACATTTTAATCTAGATGTTTTAAACCAACATTTAAACCCTATATAAACCTTTAATAAATAGTTTATTAATAATTAATGAAAATTATTAATCATTATTCCAGTGCTTGTTAATGGTAAAGTAACTATTAACTATCTATTTGCCATTTATAATTGGTCTATATGCTGTTTTTAAATGATGATTAGATATTAATAAACTATCTATTTACCATTTATAAATTATAGTTATTGTAGAGTGTTACCAATATAATCATTTAGACTTAAGTTTATAAAGCTCTTTCATTTAGAGCAGGTCGTTTACATTTGTAACGGCCTTTGCTTCTTTTCTTCATCTTTGTCACTTTTCTTGATATGCATCCTTTTAATTGGTGATTAAATAGTGTAAATAAAAACAACATGATACTAATTCGGCCTTGTAAACTGTAAATCCATCTTTGTGAGCAAAGCCAGGTCAGTGTCCTGAAAAAACAAAGTGAAACAGGCCAGCTGGAGCTTACAGTGGAGCACAAAGGCTGCAGTCAGGCTGCAGTGAGCTTCAGTATTGTGACTGATTACTGCAACATGAACTCAACTGGATGCACAAGAAAAAGAGAAGAGGAGCCTACAAACAAACGACAATGCTGCTGCAGCACGGCACGAGCGCGCCGCACAGCCTGCTCAGCCCGCCATGTCACAGCGCTCCACTCTCTCAATGGATGTCACTCTCTGCTCTGCTAATGGTCAATGACATGGAACATAATGCACCAACTAGGTCCTGAGCTGCAGCAGTAATAGCTCATAAATTCAGCAGCCTGGAGCACCGAGCTGTCAAAACGCAGCAGTGCATTGTGGGTTAATGTTTTTCATGCACCCCCTCCTCACCCAGCAGTCACTGCACTGTGCCAATCAGCTCCGGTGTATGTGTGTGTTTGTGTGTATGTGTGTGAAATCCCTACCCCTCCTCTCTCCATGCAGCCATCCAGAGTAAAAACCATTTTCTTTTTAATTAATCAGCCGATCCTGTGCGCCGGCTCTGCTCAGGCTCCAGCAGAGTGGCTTAAACCAGATCAATGAGAGCTCGGGGGGCATCAATATTTTCCAAAGTGCAGGAAAAAAAAGTCCTGGAGGTTCAGGTTGGCCCAAATAAAGTGCCCTGGGGACACAGGCGGCCCAAAAAGCCTCCGACTCCGGTCTCTTTCTCCTCTGTTTTTCCTTTTTTGTTGTTTGGTGGAGTGGTTGTAACCAACAGAGAGGTCAGCTCTGACTTTCAGTAATATGCTAAGACACATTTTACACACTCAGAAAATGAAATTGAGAGTATAATGTAGAGGTATAATAGAAGAGTCAAAGTCTAACCTTTAGCAAATATTTTCATGTCGGTTTAATGCAGCGGAACATTATAAATTTAGCCGTTTGGAAAAAAAGGTTTCAGTTTCAGTGTTTTTTAACTCACAAAATACAGTTCACTTCACAGCACTGTAAATACAGCAGCTCTCACTGTTTTGAACTAACAGATTGTGTTGGCTGTTTTTATTAATTTATCTCAGTAAGGAAAGTAAAATGTTCAGATTCTTTCAGCAAACACTTCACATCTGAGCACACTTTAACACACTACCACACATTAAAGTCTTCAAAGCTATTTTTCTTTCTAGTTTTACGACATTTTTGCAGTTTTAAAAGTCTTGGACAGTTTATATTTAAATAACAAATTGTTTTATGTTTTGTAATCTAATCAGTATTGAAAGTCTTTTACACTTGTAAATTATTATTATTATTTTTTACAATTCCCCAGGTTTATAACAGGTATTGACAATTTATAATTTTATGTGTTCCAAAGGGTCATTTTACACATTTTGAAGTCCTCCACTGATTTTCAAGTTTTCACAACCACATGGTTTATATATATATATATATATATATATTTTTTAATTTATTTAACAAGTTTAACACAGGATTACAGTATTTTATCTTTTTTTATAATTATTTTTACTTTTTTAAAAGTTTTTTACAGTTTAAAAAACTTTCAACTTAACAAGAAGATTTGAGTTTCACAAATCTTTAACGTGTTAAAACTTTCATACTGTTTTTTTTTTAGAATTTTTATTTTTTATAGGTGTTGTAAGGCTTTATCTGCTTTTATTTGAAAGTATTTTAAATATTTTATTCCAAGTTTACGCATCATGTATTTTTTCAAGACTTGCATTGCCAGATTATATAAAAGCAGTGAACAAGAGAATGTGTTCTTCTTTATATGTCACAGTTAAGATATTATTAGTTACCCACTGAGCATTTTTTGGTCTAAAAGAGGTCTAATAGACGTCTAAATGTAGCCTAGACAAGAGGTCTAAAATCAGGCTACCACAGGTCTAAAAATGAAAGTTTTCTAGATGTCTTAATTTAGACCAAGTTGAGACTAAATCTAAATCTGGGCTATATCTATACTAAACTGTATATTGCGCAATGGCTATCATGATTATTTTGGTTTAGCACTTGGAGATCAGTTATGCAACTCAAAGTTGCTTTTTGAAATAAATAGTTATTGAATAATGGGTTAAAGTGCAACGTCTATAGCCGGTCTAAAAATATACAGAATCTAGACGGTTGAAATTAGGTCTAAAAAAAACTAGACGTCTAATAGCTGTCTATTACTCAGTGGGTAGTTAAGTTTTACACATAAATGCGTCCTCAAACTGAAACTTTATCTGATAAAACCTGATCTGATTTGTTTCATGGAACAAGTTTTGGTAGGTTTAATGAGGCAGGAAAATGAGAGGCGAATGATTACCTACAGACTAATGTGTGATTATCACTTATCCAACACAGCTGGTGATAATCAAATGATAACCAGAAGAGTGCAGTGTTTTCGTATCCTGTCAGTGTCACCTCACTTATACTCAGAGTGAGAAAAATCATACACACACAGACACACACACTCAGCCTTTTCCCAGTTGGATGTGATATTGGTTGCTGTGAACATAAATTGCCTGCTGAAGGTGTTTGCTTGTTGCCATGAGCTAATGTTACCGCGATTAGATTCCCATCAGTCCCTCTCTGCGCTGTCTATCAGCCTCATCCTGAAACTGCTGCAATCAGTGACGCTCAGCGCTCCAAGGCTAAAAATGTTAATGGCCCATATGGCTGGTGGGCCATCCCGAGTGTGAAAAGCTGAGCTATTATCTGAAGCTAATGGGGCAGACGTGGGCACAGAGGCTGATGCACGCACTCTGCTGGTGCAGTTCAATTCCTGCATGTCAGTTAGAGCTGATTAAAGGAATCCAGTATGTGTGTGTGTGTGTGTGTGTGTACTGGTACACCTATCAAAGAGTTGACCGCCCCGTCATTACACGTTCACCAATTGTGGACTCACCGGCACATTGGTGACATTTTTGAGGTCCTCTCTTGTATAGCTTTAAATCATTTTAAATCATGTCAGAATCACCTTGTTTTACAATTTGTTACCAACAGGGGACCTGAAGATGTGTGAGTGTTAAAAGCCTTGCTCTCTAGTGCCTCTAATGGCTGGAGGAGGAATTTTTACAACCCAGTTTTTAGTCAGTTATTTGTTCTCTGTGGTTTAAGAATGAATATGAACTAGTTTGATCTTTTCATTGTTCCTGGTCAACTCAACATTTTTATCTTGAAAAAGGCAACAGAGAATATTTAAATTGGAGGATAGAGGAAATGTTTAATGCCGGTTTCAAACACAAACACAAACCTCCGACAAGTAGAGCCAGAGAGAAATGTAATTTTGAAGTAGTCTTTTTGTTTTCCTGAGCTGTATTAACTCAAAGGGTCAGGAGTTATCTATGGATGAACACTGCCCCCTAGTGGTTTATTTAAAAGAAGCATCTTCTTGGCCAACAGCATCATGTAATGTACTGTTCATAAAAATCAAACACAGTCACCCTCAATTTTCGAGGTGCTGTCTAAACCAAGTTGGTCAATGGGCTGATGTAGACAAAGACAGTGGACCACTGAACAGAGGGATGTAGGGATATAGAGGGCAAAACCTCAGTAGTTTTACAGTCAGCTAAATAAAGATTTTTTTTAAAGTTGGGCTACAATGTTTCCAGATACATAATCAAACTTATGTGTAAGAGCTCTCTGGAGAAGAAGAGAGGCGATCAGTCAAGAATAACCAATAAACCTAAGGCACTTCTCACGATGTTAAAAAGCTTTAATGTAAAGCTAGTTCAAAATAGAACAGATGAAAATCATGTGGACATGTTTGAATGAATAAATGAATGTTTTATCTCAGTTTAAAAATAAAATCTCTTTTTAATCACATAATTTATCGGAAAACAACCCCCCAAAAAAAGGAATAGGCTGAAGCCCAGAGGCTTATTTTTACCTACCCTGGACCATCATAGGATTAACTGAATAATTCAGACTACAACATCAGTACTAGTACATCATAACCAAATACATGATAGTTTTAATTAGAAATGCAACTTAATTACTGGATCTAAGTTAGTTTTACATGTATTTCCCAAAATTTCAGCACATAATGTCATGTAAATTATGACAAGTGAAAAGTACAGTAAATGAAGGCAGTTCTTATTTAGTAAATCCCTTGTTTTTGTTGTTTCTTTCCCAGGTCATTACAATGAAACAGACTCATAGGTGTGTTGATATTAACATTTAAAATCTTAAAGATTGAAAGGTGAACTTATTATAATAATTAAAACACCTACATCATCAGGTAATTACAGGTTTTAATGTATTTACAGTAACAACAAATAATCAAAACAGAATCAAGGTTTTAACATCAGTTTTTACAATATTTAAAAATATATATCTTAATATATTTTAATTGTTAAGAACATACTAAATAAACTAAATGGTTGCACTTTGAAATATTCTTTTGATGTAATAGTCCTGAATTAAGATGGGCCTCTGGAAGATCTGGTTGTTACAGTGCTTGGATGTTGATGAACCTTATATCTGAGATTCTGGTGTTCCTGTTGTGTGTAAAACCTGGTTCTGGTTCCACAATAGTCCCAGCGGTTACCTTGATAGTATCATGATATCAAGCTAGAACTCATTTCTATTTGTTTATGTGCCTGAATGTTGTAATCCAATGATTCTGGTGTGTCAGATTGGGGCCTTTTCTAAAGGTTTTTCATGTTGGCTTCTATAGGGATTCTGGAGTCTGAGACGGTAAACCCTAATAGGTCTTGTGATTTCTTTAAAATGGCTCTTGCTCGTTGATGATCCTTGCTGTTGCTGTGATGGTATCCTTGACTTTGACTGGTCTAATTGTTGCGTCACAGTCTTGGGGTTCTAGTACGTGAATGTATCCAGGGGCTGGATATTGATCACTTGTGAGTCCAACAGTCCTCTGGCTCAGCCCTGGACTGTGACAGACTTGGTGATAGTCTTGGCCAACACTTGGACCCCTGCAGCCCTGGTTGTTACTATTCTTTTACATTAACCTGGGTTACATTTTTACCTTTGGCTTTGAGGACTGTGACTGCTGCTTGACCCTGGTGCACAATGTGGACACTTTAATTGTATCCTGGTTTCTAATGGTCTTTAGCCAAAGAGGGAAGACTGCGGCTTCTTTAAGTAGCACTGGCTCAAACAAGACTTTGATTGTACACTCTCTTAGGCCCTATTGCATAATCTTGGTGACTTGGTTCCTTCACTGGTACCGGTGGTACCTTATAATCTGAAGGGTACACTTGTTGTATCTCAGGTTTGTTGCTCTTGTGATTAGACAACTCCTGGATGTTGGATTCCGTTGGATTTGACTGCTCTGGTTCAGTCCTGGACTCTGACAGACTTGGTGGTTGTCTTAGCTGAAGCTTGGACTCTGGCAGCTCTACTTGTTGTTGTGGTTGGATGTTGGACTCTTTTAAGACTTTTGGTTGTGTTTTGAGGATGTGTCTTGGATTCTGATTGGTCCAAAGTTTGTTGGCACTGCCTCTGGGTTCTTATTGGTACATGTGATTGTTTTAATAGTTTCTTTGACATTGACAGACCTGAGCCCAGAATGTCAGGCTTCTTTAGCTGTCCTAAAGACAGCCTTAAAGGTATCCTCAACTCAGATTGGCTTGCTGGGTGGTTTTCTAAATCAAGTTTCTTGTGGTTGAGGACTGGTTGGATGTTGATCTTTGGTGGATCAGACAAATCCTGTTTTTCAGTCCTGGACTCTAATGGACATGGTTTTTCTTGATGAGGCTGGGACACTGGAAGCTCTAATTGCTGCTGTCCACAGATGATATACTTTGATGAGATGCGTGTCTTGGACTCAGGTGGAACACTTTGGCTCTGGATTCCTGAGGGTCTTTCTGACTGCTTTGACAGGATCATGGGCTCTGATTGGTTCAAGCCTTGAGTTTTGGTTGTATGGTTTTCTTGGTTATACCGTGGCTGGATGTCGGACTCTGGTTTCCCTGATGGATTCCCTAATGGTCCGTGTGGTTGCCTTGATGGCATGTTGGATTCTAACTGATTAGACAGCTGAATATCAGACATGTGGTCCTTGTGGTTGGAGATTTGCTGAATAATTTCATGTAGTGAATGGCACTCTGGTTGAGTCCTGCACTCTGACACACTTGGTAGTTGTCCTGACTGGAGCTGGGAGTCTTGGAGATTCTTTTTGTGTGCTAAGATGTTAGACTTAGATGTGGCTTGTGTCTCAGGCTCTGGTGTATCAGTCTGGCTCTGGTTCTCAAACACTTCTTTTGGTTGCTTTGATGGTACCCGAAACTCTAAGAGATTGGACTGTTGGATTGCAAACTTGTGGTTCTTGTGGTTGGGAAATAACTGGACGCTGTTCTGCTTTGACCTGGTCTCTGAACAACATAATGGTTGTCCTGGCTGAAGCTGGAGCTCTGGCTTCCCTGGCAGCTCTAAACTATTTTTCAGTGCCAGGATATTGGACACTGGTGGGACTTCTTGTTGGTTCCTAGGCTCTGGTGTACGTGACTGATTCTCATGACCAAATGGTCCTGGTGCTGGCTTTGATAGGATTGTGGAGTCTGATACATCTAATGGTTGGGTTTTAGACTGATGGTTTTTGTGATGTGACAGGGATCTTGTGTTAGTCAAAGCAGGTTGCTGTACTGGGCTTCTGGGCTTGGATGTGATCTTGGACTCTGACAGGTCCCGAGCTTCTGCAGGCTGGCAGTGTGAATCTAGATGCAGCTGTCTCTGCAGCTCCTCAGCATTGTGGGCTAACATGAGACTGACCTTCCTCTGGTGGGCCAGGGCCTCCTCTTTGTCATTCAGCTGCAAGCAGAAAACACAATGTTAAAAATATAAGGTGAACAATTAAGGCTCTGTAGGAAAAAGCTCAAGAGTCCTTTTTACCTTTGAGAGTATTTTTATATGTTATAATCTGTAAATGTCAGGGTGATCCTTACCAGGTCAAGCAGTTTGTAGAGAGTCTCCAACAAATCATCGGACATTTTCACCTCCAAACCTGACGGCAGTAATCCTTTCAACCTCTGACTCACTTTCATCCGAGGACTCTTGTTAGCTCCTAGAGGGACCAGACAGACACATTTTTTACTGGTACTTATAATAAAGGAATGTATAAAGCTCTGTGGGGTACAGACTAGCACTACAGTCATATTTGTCATGGTGTGGTAAGTCTGTAAAAAAAGGTGTTTCTATTTCTTGTGGGTGCTTGTTTTTAAATCTTCTCATGTAAATCTCTACAACCCATTCTCCTGGGGCTGTACAGATGTAGGTATGTCACAGACTCCTGGCAGGACTCCTGATGAATTGTAGCCCCAGATGTAACACTGACCTTCAGATTTGCTGTGGTGAGATTTCAGGATGTTCGCTTCAGCAAGCAACAGGAAGTGCTCACTGCGTTTCCTCAACTGCTGCTCAAAAGGCGATTCGAAATGCATCAGCTACCATCATGGCCTCCTCTCTCCTTGAGCGCTGAGCATCCAGCTGGAATGCACACACACACAGATTTAGAAATGTATTTATATTATTGTATTTATATTTTTTAAAGAGGAAGGACTTCAGACTGAACTTTTAGTCTCTTGGCAGATAAAATATTTGTTCAGAAGTGAAAGGAAAAAGATGGAGTGATGGTGCACATTATTTTACCTCCTGTTGCAGTTGGATAAGCTGCTTCCTGCTGGCAGCTGCAGCCCGACTGCACGGACAGACATCAGCTACACCTGCACACCTGCAGGCTCCCAACACTGCCAGCTGAAACACATAGGAAGAGAGGCTACATCAGTGCAACTACATCTGCTACTTCAGTAATAAGTCTGCTACATCAGTTTAGCTACAATCTACTAGTTTTCATTTATTACAGAGTACTATGATGCTGTGTTACTCGTAGGCTGATATTAATCAAACAAATTCACTTTCTTTAAACCCTGCATTTCTCTAAACTGCACTGCATTGCATTAGGATTGGGATTGGGATTATTCATTGTACTCTCTGTGAGGGCTTTTGTTTCTTACTCACCTCCAGGATACCTGCGTCTCTGTCTGGGCTGTACATGGGTTTAGTCTCCTGATAAACTCTCTGCTCCTTCACGTTCAACATGGACAGGAGCTCCAAACACTGCCGACTCAGAGCTGAAATACACATGCGTACTCAGGTCTTGTGATCAAAACTGTTATCTAGTCAAATCCAGTTTCTACTGAAGACCACATATGTCAGAAAGCTCTGATAGTAAAATCCAGGCAGACCAAGATCCAATTCATGTCACAGACGGAGATAATATATTCAGACATCTGGATCACACAAACACAATCTGATTTAACACTCACCAGAATTTTCTGCTCGCAGCTGCTGGATCTCATGCTCTCTCTCCTCCAGAGTGTCAGTCAGAGTCTGGTTCTCACTTACAACCCTGAACACAACAAACACAACCAGCTCAATAAACCATAAGACAAGAATAAAACAAACACATCAACCAACTCAACAGCATGACAACAACAACAATTTAAAAACAAATACAACAACAATAAAATAATCACAATAAAACAACAAATACAACCAGTCCAAGAAGGAACAATAAAAAAACCAAAAAAAAAGCAAACAAAACAGCCAGCCCAACAACAACAAGGACCAGCTAAACATCACAATAGCAAAAAATAGCAAAAAAACATCAACAACAACCAGTCCATCAACAAGATCCACAACAAACACAGCAACTAGCCCAACAAGAAGAACAACAGAGAACCATTCAACAATTACAGCAACAACAGCCAGCCAAACAACAACAAGGACCAGCTAAACAACACAATAGCAAAAACTACAACAACAAGCAAAATATTAACAACAACCAGTTCATCAACAAGATCCACAACTAACACAGCAACAAGCCCAACAGGAAGAACAACAAAGAACCCAACAACAACATAAAACTAACAATTACAGCAACAATGGTCAGCCGAACAACAACCATACAAAAAAAAACAACCCTGTCAAAAACAAAAATAATCAAACAATCATAATTACAGCAACAACAGCCAGTCAAACAATAACAATGAAAAAAAGACTGGACCAACAACAAAAACAAAAAAATAGATAAAAATACAAAAACCAGCAACAAAAGAAGTTAAACATTAGCAACAAGCCCAACAACAACAATAGCATTTAAACAACTAAAAACATTAACAACCAGTCTAAGTAGAGCTCAATGAAAACAGGACAAAGAGTGTGTAAGGAGGCCTTCTGACCTGCTGTAATTGTGCTCCCAGGACTGCTGACACTTCCTCATCTGGACCTGGTTGAAGCTGAGCTCCCACTGCAGGCTGTTCACCTCCTGAAGGACATTAAAGCAACACGTGGCACGTATTAGTGTATTTTCCGTCACAACTGTACGGTCTACAATCAAACTATGAGGTGACACCACACCTTATGCATCATAAAGTATTATTATATGTTGGCGATTATGTTTGCTGCAAGGACTTTTTTGTTATCTTGCTTAGAGAACTCAGCTTTGTTGAGTCTCTGGGAGGATTCTTGGAAAGTGTGGACTGTGTAGAACTCTGTGAGCGACAGAAGGATTGCAGATACAGAGCTACATCATAGAGGATATTTATATGAACTCTTCAACTCAACCCTTTAACACTTTTTAAATTTAGTTAGATATCGTTGGATAGTTTTTATTATTTGGACGTTCCTTACAGCAGCTGAGATCAGTCAGGATGTAAACATGGGACGTTCCTTGCAGCAGCTGAGTTCAGGCAGGATGTAAACATGGAAACACGTCTTTCAGAGTTTATTGAGGCATTAGATCGTGTTTCCGTTTGTCTTGCAGGAAGAGGCTGGTGTCTTGCTGCTGAGTGTCATAGTAAAGCAAACAGACCTTGCCTTTATTTGAGCAGCAGACACTCACCTTCTCCAGAGCTTTGGCTTTCTCCTCGCTCTTCTGCAGGACACTCTGAGTATGACACGTGGCTCTGTCCAGAATGGCCTGAATTAACAACAGCAGTCATAGTCAGTATTTCTATCGGGAAATATTATGGACTTACATTATTTTCCATGAGCTGGTAGTGACTGATTTGTCTTAGATGGTGAATATGGGGGTGATTGTAAGAGCTGTCATGTAGCAAACACTTGTCTGATGACAGATCTGTGGCCTGATTTGACATTTTCTGTTGTCTGAGTGACAAACAGGATAAAGTTTCCTAGAGTTTCCACTAAGAATGAAAACATACAGAGACAGAGCTTCTTGTTAAACAGGACGATGATTTTTTTAACCAAAAACAGCTGTCACACCAGTCACACATCTGACTGCGCTGTAAAAAATGGAAGTTTAAGTTCTTTGAGTGATGTACTCAAAAGAGGCCGTTAATACATGCACGTCACATTGACTTTTTCTGCGCTCTGCACTTGGTTGATTCAGACTATCTATGAAAAGTTGCTCATAATTATTCTTTTGATCAAGATAGGAAAGCCAAAATGAAACATAAAGATCCTAAAGACACTTGAGCCTGAAGTATGTCCATTTGTTTTATTCCAGATGACTACTTCAAACCAAGCTGTCTGTTCAAGTCCTTTGTTGCTGTTTTTAGAGGACGGTTAGCACTTGGCTGACAGTGATAAATATTTCACTTTCTAAACCCCTGATACTGGTCGTCTTGATTCCCAGACATTTAGAGAGAATTGTAAGAAGAGGTGATACAACACAATGGTGAACATGAACCCGTTTCAACTTTTTTTAAATGTGTTACCTTTATCAAATTAAAAAAGAGCATACATTTTCCACTTAAAACATTCAAATTAGTCTGTTTAAACATGTCGTTGTGCTTCAAATGATTTGCACACCAATGAAATTTCAAACAGCATCCAGTTTCTTATTATACTGGGGTTATAAATAATGTTTTTTTAAGTAAACAATAACTGAACTGAGCAGCTTCCAGTTATAATAAAGCAATATTTGACCAGAAGGATCTATACTTCAGCTCAGATATTTAGCTGTAGCTTTAACAGACATTGCACAGGAATAATTATACCTTTATAACAACAAAAGACTCCCAATTCTCAAGCTAACTAACTAACTGAGGCAGCAGCGTTAGCTCCTGTGATCTGTGAGGTTGAACTCATGGATTAAAAATGACTTCATCTGCGTTTCTTTGTGTGTTCATGTCCATGTGCATCTACCTTCCCCTGTAAGATCTTCAGAGCTTTATATTTTCCTTCAAAGTATCGATGGGACACCTCCAGCTCACAGCACAGAGCGTCTATCACCTGAGAACAGAGGAGAACCATCACCTGCAGACTGACTGACATATAGTCACACAGTAACTATAGTTTGTCTTTACTGTCGTACCTCAGTGGCTTCCTGCAGTCTGTCTCTCAGCTCATCTTTGGACAGCTCCATCAGAGAGCCTGCATGGACACAAACAGTAATCTTACAGGTTAGCAGTCAATGAATGTGGGTTTTAAATGTTTTTTTAAACCAACACAAGACTCTGTTCTGACCTGAGAAATTGGGCTCTTTATTAGTAAGTTAAAAGCCTGTTTTGGTGGGGTCTTACCTGAGAGCTGCAGCTTCCAGCGGGCTTTCTGTAGAGTCTCTTTGGTCTTCAATCCAGGGATTAAGGTGGGCTCCCCGGTCTGCAAGCTGCGCCTGAGTCTGTCTGCTCCAATCAGAGGTGTCTCTGACACTCCGCTGAAGCTTTGACTTTTCATCCTGCCGGGCTTGTGAGCAGCTCGACCACCCATCCCGTCCCCAAGGTCCCCATCCAGCATGTCATCATCCAAATCGCAGGCTCCGCCTACCGCCTGCATCTGAACCATGTTTACAAAGTTAAGTTTATAACATTTCGGGGAGAGATAGCAAAACATTTTTGGACATTTAAACCCTTGGAAACACGTCTTAAATACCCTTGTTGTGTTAGTTAGACATGAGCCTGTTGTTTTGATCTGTATTTAATCATTAACTCACTGGTTAGTCCAGAAAATAGACAAACTGTCAGGTTAGTTTTGAACAGAATCATTATAATCTGGGACTCCGAAGGGATAAGGGGTCTGGTGCATAGAATTCATAGTAAAAGTGTAAGTACAGTAAAAACCTGGAACTGGCATGCACCATAGATGACTGAGATTTATTAAGCCATAAGCAGACATTGTTCCCTTCATAAATCTATCTAGAAACATGCAAACTTGGTCCAGCTTCATATCCCATTTCCCACACGCTCACATCCATCTGTGCATTGTCAAGGTTGGGGTTAAGTCAGGTGAGTTTATGCTGGAGACACACTTTTTATCTGCTATGTTTACTTTGGCACTACAACTGCAACATGAGAGAGACAGGTGGAAAACAGATATCTGACACATAAATCCACGTGCTCATGAAAGAAGTGGAGATCAGAGAGCACAGGTATACGATCCACTCTGATTTTCGCTCACAACCAATCAGTGATCACTTCCCTCTATATGAAATAATTTCACGAAAGTTTGATGTAGATTTTAATTTGTTGGTTTTATTATAGCCTACACTTTGACTGGTTATAAAGATATGTTGTTATTCTGAGAGAGCTGCATGTGGCCTAACTGACACTCTTTACTTATTCATGGCTGACCACTGAGACAAGAAGAGGAAGGGATGAAAATAGCACCAAATCTAGTAAGGGATGTATGGACTGAGGTGGTGTTAATGGTCTGGCTGACGGAAAAGAAAATGTCAACCATCATTTCAGGGGCAGTGACAGGACAGAAGACCTTATTCAGATGATGTGGGCATTTTATGCATCAGGTCAAATGCCATCAGAGATGCACAAATGTTTAGACTTTAACCTGAGTAACATTTTTCAGATTTATATTAATTTGATAATGAACATTACCAATAAAATGCTGTAATTTGTGGGACTTCTTTAACCATATAAACGTGTGCTTTTTAAATAAAAAAACAAACAAACGTTTATACATATTTTGTAGGGCTGGGACAATGTGCTTTTCTCCCGATTTGGTTCTTCTACGAAATTGCTATTCTACGATATGGTCGATTTTCTCCATTCTTAACACCAGTGAAACAGTTGAATGATTATGATTGTCCACTGACTATTTCAGGAACCATATTACCCCCAAAAAATGCACATCACATATAAGTCAATTTTTAAGATTTATTCTTAAATTTGAAAAAAGAAAAAAAACATAGATTGAACATAAAAATCAATTTAATTGTAAAACAAAAAATCTTTTGCGAATCGTTATTTCTCCCACCAAATTGTCATGCAATTTTTATTTTTTATTCTACAGTTTTATATTAACCTTTTTGTTTAAATTGAACTATTTTAACCAGTCCTGTGCTGTGATTTTATATGTTTGTACCAAATAAAGCTAAACTCTCAATTTGGTTGTACTTAGACTTTACAAACACTCTGTGATTGCAATTTGAAGTTAAGATGTTGGTTTATATTATAAAGAGAAATAAATAACTTCACTTGTTTAGTGTCTGTTCGTATTCAATTATCCCAAGATTTTATCCATTTAAACATAACAGTCATAAGCCAGTTTTACAGTCCATATGAGAATAATTTCTGTCCCGTTTGTTGATTTCTTTGTCCTTTTTGTTTATGTTTTTAAGCTCTCTTTCTGTTCTCCACTATGTTGTTAAATTAAGAAGCTATAAACTAGTAAAAACACACTTAGCATCCTAAACAGCCTCCACGGTGTCATAACAGACTTCCCCTTTAATGTTAATGATGACAGGTGGACATAATATGGGGACTTCCTCTTACCTGTACCTGCAGCAGTGACCCGTAGTTTTATAGTCCTCAGTGTTTAAAGACTCCAACGAACAACGGAGAGAAATAAAAGTTTAACAAACTACGTTAAAAGTTTTAGCCGCGAAAAAAGACTGAGAAAAACGTCCACTCGTTAGTCCTTTCATGTTAAAAACAAACAAAACTACTGAAAAAAGATCCTCCAGCGGCCACTCATCATGAACACCGTCACAGACCTCCTCATAAGCGCGTTAACAAACACTACTTCCGCTTTGTACCTTCAGAATAAACTTCATAGATGCTATCGGTGACCAATTTTTTTTTCAGTTACTGTACATCGGCAGAAAGAAGGTATTTACAGTAAAATATGAATCATATTATTAGTATTATTCTGACTATTGTTATTCTTATTAGTTGTTTCTACTATTGCCTTTCACTGTATGCACTTTGAGATCTGTTTTCTCAGGTGTAAAGCACAATATAAATAAAATTTATTTTTACTATTATCATTATTGTTGTTGTTGTTGTTGTTATTATTATTATTATTATCAGCAAATGTTTCATTGAGAATATTTATTTAACCTGTTTGTGTATTTGGAGTATTAAATGGTTTTAATAGTTTTTTTGTTTTACCGACTGTTTAATATTTACAGTTTGTGGTTTATAAAACTTTTTTCCTATAGTTTATTAAAACATGTAAATGTGTTACTTTATGTTGTACATGTCGCATATTCGCACATGTAACTCAGAGAGAAATTCCTGTTTGTCAATTGCAAGAAGTGGACAATTGCATATTTTGTACTTTTTTGTTTAAACCAGACGCCAAATGTTAGGCATGGATACATGTCAAGTATATCTTCCGGGTCACACATAGAAAACAGAAAACTACATTTTCAGATGCATACATTTGGCAACTTATTTTTCCATACAAAATGTTCATTACTCAATTAACATGACATAAATGTTTTCTCATTTGAAACATACTAAACTAGATAAGCTTTTTGCTTCATTCTGGTCCTTCTCAAACTGTTTATTTTGACATACATATGTTGTGTACATTTATGTTTGACATGTAAAGTTGTTTGGTGTGCATATGTATTATTTTGTTTTGTGTTTTTGTTTCTAGTTGTTTTTTTTTGTTTGTTTGTTGTTGTTGTTCTTAAAGTTTGAGATAAATAAAGAAGAAAGAACAGAAAGATGCCAAATTGTTGATTTTAATTTGAAAGCACCACAGCAACTTCCTTTACGCCGTCTGCAGCTGAGTGCTTGCCTCCAGAGGGAATATTTAAAGAAGCTTCATGTGAACTGCTAAGTAAATATTGGATGTAGGGGTGTGAGAGTAACAACAAGATAACGTTCAGGTAAAGTTCACTCATCACTTTTATTCACTCACTCTCACTCAGGATTACACCGTGTCTCCTTAAATAACACTTTAAAGAAACCTCATGTAAAGGCTGCGCTTGGACCAGGACAGTTTCCTATGACACAGCAGGAACAAAACAGAAAGAAGTACAAAACACAAGTGCTGAACTCCCATCAACAACAAATAAATACTGACATGTTTGAAACTGTCACTCTGTGGAGTTTGAGCATCATATTTATATCCTATGAAACAACAAAACAGACCGCTCCTCGGTGACGCAAAAACACCCAAAATACCAGAAAACTGCTATCAGACAGTAACAGAGGGTCAAAGTCCGAACTTGGGGAAGGATTTTTTTTTAAATTGAAGAAAATTAAAGCTGAATTTGGTCAACTTTTAGTCTTTTTTTTCCTCTTCAAATGAATCCCCTCAATCCTGTCATTCTTTCACAGCACTTAAATCGTCCTCAAAACAGACCAAAAATGTGGTCAGTGTCACAGTATCACAGAGCAGCAGTGTATGTGTGTGTGTGTGTGTGTGTGTGTGTCAGTCACTGTTGTACTCCTCTATGATCACCTCCTCCTCCTCCACCTGGCTACTCATCGGTTTGGGCTGACTGGCTGACAGAGCTTCATCACCCGCACCCTGATCTCCACCCTCCTGCTTCTCCTCCTCTTCCTCTGACTCCACTTGAGCCAGCTCTTTGTCTGTCAGAGCCTCCAGACTTAATCTAGAGGACAAATACACACCCACAGACACAAACAAACACACACACACACATGCAGAAAGTGGATCAGATTCATTAGATCATATCCTGGTTTATTTCCTTTTCTCTCCCTACAACAAAAACTTCATTTCAGGTGCATTATGGGTGGATGTAAGTGTGCCATACCTGGTAAGGCCCCTCTTGAGAGACATCTGACCCACGTCCTGAATGAAAGCAATCTGAGCTGAGGCAGGGAAACACAGAGCAGATCCTCAGATAATCAGTTTAAGTCATGAAACAATGCTGCAAAAATTAAAGTAAGGGAAGAGAGTTTTTAGTATCATTTCAAGAGTTTTTAAATGAACTCTCAAAAGCAAAACAAAATCTCTACCTTCTCTGATTTGTTTTTCTTACAGGTGGCACTAATGCTCATTTGGATTTCATAACAGCAGCACAGAGCAAGGCAGAATGATGTGTCTCACCAAACAAAATAAAAAAATAAACCAGGAAGACAAACAGAAACAGAACACGTGTGTGTGTGTGTGTGTGTGTGTGTGTGTGTGTGTGTGTGTGTGTGTGTGTGTGTGTGTGTGCGTGTGCGTGTGAGTGTGTGTTACCTTGGTTCCTCATGGGGTTGGTAAGTTTGGCCAGATAGGGCAGCAGGTGAGTCTGCAGACTGACAGGTGACAGACAGAAGCTCCTGAACAGAGACTGAGCGGCCATGCTGTTCTCCCGATGCTAGTGAAACGAAGACAAAAACAATAACACCGGCAAAATCAACAAAAACAGCCAGACAGTTTTTCTTTTTTAAGTTTATCTACTGTTGTACTTATATAAAACTTGTACTTTTTGCATAATAGTAACATAAACATCTCTATTTGAACATGAACTGATAAACAAGTGAGTGACCTATTTGTTTTGCTTTTTCTTAATGTGTGAATTTAAGCCTTCTGTGTGGAATATCCAACTGGAGTATGTCTGTCTGGTGTTAATATGTTATTTTTGTTTATTACAGTTCAAACAGTTGTTTTTCTGATGAATGCTTGATGTCATTAACTATCAGTTCAGACATGTATTGTAATAATACATTTGAAAACTCTGACAATAGAGCCCTCATAATTTCCTTACACTTTATTGAAGTTAATCTACAATGTTAATTCCAAAACAGGAGACTCTATAAAATCTTCTTAAAAACAGAATTTCAGAATCAGCTTTATTGGGCAAGTATGTGTAACGTGTTACTTATTTTACCCACTGTGCAAGGAATCTGACTCTGGTAAACTTTGCCTTCTATGTACAAACATCAATCATGAAGGGTTCATCATTTGAATGCTCATCTCATTAACCTCTATAACCTTATATTTAATTTTGAACTGTGTTATGTTATATTCCCAATGTTTCATGTTTGAGACCATGTTTCTGCTCTAGGTTAAAGGGTTTAGGCAGTCTTTCACTTAATTCAGAACATGTGTGTGTATGTGTAAGTACTGTATGTGTGTTACCTTCTTGTGCACCTGCAGCCAGTGTGGTTTGTGCAGGGGTCTGAAGCCTACAGAGACCTGCTGAGAGTTGGAGTGTAGGAGACCCCTGGTGGCCACTGAACTCCCATAACCCCCCATGGTACTGCGACTCTGGAATACACAATAATTAAATTAATCCAACATGCACACTTAATACACAAGCCTCTGATTGGTCAACAGACCAAAACAAAGACAGCCACCTCTGTATAACATAGTCAGCTAAATTTGCTGCTGAATCATCACATTATGCCTCAGATATTAAAGGACTGGATCTAGACAGAGTATTTCCTCAGTTTCACAAAGCCAGTGGATTTTACGGGAGGTCAGTATGTCGTACTATTTTTTCTCTCTTTTGTTAGCAAAACAAAAAACGAAAAATGTTTTGGACATTTTAGTTTTTATTATTTCGTTAGTTTTCTAAAACCTTGCTCCAAACCATTTTGGGTGGTCCAAACAGATCACAGACAACATATTTACGATAGCCAGTGAACAGCACAAACTGTGGCTTATTCTTTTAAGTGATAGATAAACAGGTAGAGACTAACCGTCCAATCAGAAGTAAGAAGGTCAGCGTCAGACAGGTACTCGCTGGCCCGCTCTACATCCTCCAACTGGGAGAAGAAGTCCAGGTAGTTCTGGTGTAGATACAGGTTAAAGAACTCCCCTGACATGTGAGAGCGCTCCACAACAAGCTAAATGTTGAGACACAGAGAAATGCACACAGCTCTGTTAAATGTTAATGCATGTTTGTTACCTGATTAAGCTTTGGAATATGAACATGTTTGTACCTCGGGGTCGTCCTGTAATGATCCTCTGTGATGGTGGGACAGGTGAGATGGGAGAACAGGCTCAGGTTTAGCAGGTTCAGATCCTTCACTACTCTCTCCTGATGAGGATGACAGAGAAACAAACACAAACTGTTTCACTGCAAAGAGTCAGCTCTCAAAAATTAGCAAAAGTAGTACTGGATGTGACAGACAGAAGGGAGCCTTCACACTGAGTTCTTTTTTCTTTTTTCAGCCTTTTTTTATGAGGCCTGACTCACGTTTACAATGCAGGATCTTTCCTAGAGCTCTGAACAGGAACAGAGAGGCATCTTTCCCTCCGATGGCCTGCTCCTCCTCCGGCTCCTTCTGTTTGGACTTCTTCCTTCGGTTTGTTCTGGAGGCAGCTTTACCCACAGAGGTCCCAGCTTTGTCCTTCTTCACCTTCCACAGGCTCTGCTCTAGAGATGAATCTGAGCAGATGAAGTGATGAGAGAAGATCAGTCAGTACAGGACTACAATGACTGTGAAGGAAAGGTCAGGAGGATGAGAATTTAGTCCAGACCTGTGAGCGAGGAGAACTGGAGGCTGTTGATGGCACTGCGGATATCTCCTGAGCTTCCTGAGCAGAGCGTCTCCAATACTGCTGGGTCTGAGACACCCCTCCTCCCTCCGCTCTGCTTGGAATTATGGGGGAAAAAAAGGACTGAGGAACACGTCAAATTTGATCAAAGTGCGTCATCACCTGCAGGGCCTCCTCTCACCTTTCCTGCCTCGATGGCTGAGATACGACTCAGGACCTTCATCATGGCGGTCGGGGCCACCGGATTGAAACTGAAAACAAAGAAAGCATAAAACAAGACCAGAATAAGTTTTCCCTCGATACTAAAGTCAGTCAGTGATACCTCTGGGAAAAGCCAAATATCCCAACTACTTAAACACAGACAGAATATTATGGCTATTACACCTTGACCTGTCTTCATCCACACATTAACAATGACAGTAAAGAAAGAGGAATTCATTACAAGATGACACGTCTAACTGTGTGTTGGACTCTATGCAGGTGTGTGTTAACGTGTTGATGTGTGCACAGTAGGGTTAGGGATGTCCGGTGTGAGGCCAGTATGATACACCTCTCAATACGTTGTTTACAATCGAATACTCGAGCATCCACAAATGATGCAAAATGACTCGATACGGTGCAACTCAGTGTGATACTGAACGATACAATGATGTGAAGGAATGGTGTTATACATTTTAGTGGGTTTGATTATTGTGAGGGAGGATGAAATGCGGTTATACGGGTCAAACAGGAATAAGATCTAATCAACCCCCATGGGAGACCAGTTTCTACTTTTTTAGACGTAGGTGATCTTCGATCTTCACTGTTCCTGTTTCTGACTGCAGTTAAGTAAAGAGTATAAACCAGAATATTTTAGTTGAGTATCTGTAACTCTCCAGACCCCTGATATTTGTCTGACAGGGGTCTGTGCAGTCTGTGCATAAGGAGCTAAGATCTCTGTCACAGCCAGCAGGGGGCACAGTATTGGACCTGATGGAGCAGAGGTTCAGCTCCTCCTGGATCTCTCTGGGGAAAAGAAGGCGTGAGCTGCTGTCTCCACTCAGACTGTCTGACACGATGAACACCAGAGGACACCGACTCGTCTTCACAAATCGCCTGCATAGACACAGATTCACACAGAGCAGGGACAAACATTAGTCAAACTGATTCATTAATCTAAAAAGAATTGCAGTAAAATTTTCTCAAACTCCTCCACAGCATCAGCTAGTGCCCTCATATATTTGGTTTGGTTTTTAAAAATAGGCTTTGACTTTCACCCCTTGTTTTTTCAGTATGAGAGGTTATCTTTTAGTATTACTATTCCCTTTGTACTACACCCCCTTTCCTCAACAGATTCATCTCTGTGTCAAGAACATCCAGTCCAGGTTTTGTCCCTTTTGTGCAGAGATTGCTACAGATTCTCTGAATCTTTCAAAGATATCATTTACAGTAGACAATGGAATTTTTCATGGGGAACATTATCCTGAAGCTGTTGCACTATTGGTACACAAAGTCTCCCACGGTTTGGTGAATCTCTTCCTGTCATAGCATCTCAGAGACTTAATCTCATGTAAATCATTTGTTGCAAATTAAACTCCATACTTAGAAGATGTTCCTTCAGCTGTTTCTAAACATCTTTTTCAGTGTTGTGTTGTTTCTGTCCCAGCTTTTTTGAATCATGTTGCTGTAATAGTATCATTTTTTGGTTTCAACATGTGATAATTTGTCTTGGCAACATAAAACTCAAATCATTTTAAAGCTATATAATCCATTTTAACAAAGTAACTCCCCCCACATAAAGACTGATCTGTCCTGTAGAAATCATCTGGTCTGATGCTTAAGTGCAAATATCTGGGCACTCTTCTTTCCACATTAACGTAAAGCTGCTGAGATGGAGCTCTATTGTTTTTATTAACTTTAGGCAGTAGCTCCAAAGCTGAGTGTAATTAAAACAACTCCTCCTGGCTTCTTGAGTGAACTTATTTGACCTCACCTCAGGATGTCGTGCAGGCTGCCTGGCTGTCTGTAAAACTGGTTTGGAAAATCCTGAGGAGACAGCAGGTAAAGGGTTAATGCATGAGTGAATTCACATTCATGTAAACCCAGCTGTTTTGGATTGATACAAAAAAAATGAAAATACAAGATAAGGAGGAGCTGATACACTCGGAGCATGAATTTAGACTGAGGGGTTCATAAAAAAGCAGGTTGGTAATATTTGTGAGTAGCTTAGCTTCTGTTCTGAGCACTCTGTGATGTGTGTTATTAAAATGATATAATAATTACACAATTATACAAACACCAGGCAAAGGTCTTACCTCAACCAGTATGAGCTTTCTGTCTGATCCTCCTCCATCACTCATCATCCTCAGACAATTATACTTATTAGCTCTGAGCAGGAAGTCCTGAAACTGGGCTAACTGGGAGGTGGAGGAGAAGTCCATCATCCTCCAGTCTGATTAGAGAGAAAGACACAGAATCAGAGGAGTGAGCTGAATACAAACACAGACAAGACATGACAGTTCAAGTAAGGTTATCGAGTTTGTCTTTATCTTTACAAGTGTCAGTCCAAAAAAACACTGAGAGGTGAGTAAAACAGTCAGGGTCCTCACCTTGCTGACTGTTGCTGTAGTGGTCGGTGTTTGTCGGGTTGGTCCATTCCTGAACCCGAAGGCCCCTCTCTTGACACAGAACCTGGACTGTGGCCGTCTTTCCGCACCCAGAGGGTCCTGTCAGCAGCAGGATCCCCCCCTGTGGACAAGAATAGACAGAAAAAAAAAAACTTTAATCTGCAGCTAAAAGGTAAAACCTCCACAGTGAACTGATTTGAATTCTAAATATCTCAGACTTCACTACCTCTTAAAAACATCAGCCATCAGCCCAGCACTGATTTTTTTTCTTTTTGAGCAATGGCTAACTTTTCTGTACATTACAAGGACAAACTTCTAAATTTAGGAGAGGAACACCAACTGCCTTTTTGACGACTAGATAACTTCTTTATTTTTTAGTTATTACCAGCTGTCTTATAATTCAATTCTTGAATTATAAGACTTCACTCATAAATCTAAAAGTCAAACATTTACGAGGTTTTCCTTATTATTTTACAACTTCAATGTATTAAATTTAAGTCATTGCTTGTAGATTTGCAATTTAGTCTTTCTCAACTTCATTCTCATAATTACGGCTTTTCACTCATAATCATGACTGTTTACTCTTACATAAATAAATATGTATGACACATATCTGTTGCTTCTTGTTACTTAATTCTCCTCAATTAATGACTTTTTTTCTGAAAAACTTTTTTCTCTTATATTTAGTGAGTTGAACTTGTAAACTTAAATGCTTAATGCTAATGCGGGGGGTTTAATGTTCTTAACAACATCTCATATTATTAAAAGGAAAAAGGTGAGTACAAGATTTTAACAAACACATTTTTTTGACAGTTTTGAGGAATGCAAAATGTTGTCCGTTATCTTTGTTGGTAGGAAATCCCCAAACATGTCCAGGTAGGATCTTTGGTCAATACTACACACTTCTAATTTACAATATCTGCTTATAAACAACTGAAATCCAGGAGAGACACTAATGTTCTTCGAGAAAGGAGCAAGTGGTCCTAAAAGTTAACAGAACAATTTCCTGAAATGACCACATCCTGTTTTCAGACTTCACAGAAAACAAAGAATTGTTACTGTCAATCCTCCAGTTCCTCTACCTTTACGGCTGTAAAAATTTGATTGTCGCTTGTAATGAAAGAAAATACCTGTAATAACTTGTTGTTCTTACCAGTAATCTTTAAGCTAGTGCACTGTTCATTCAGAGTTAAAATGCAATGTACAATAAATTTTATCTTAGTATCCCACAGCTATGTATTCCTTATTCAGTGTTGGTCCAGCTGTACTTGGTTTTTGTGTGTGTCCTCTCTCTAAGTGGCCACATGAGGGTGCCAGTGTGATTTGGGCGTCTCTGCCAAAGCTCTTATTACTTATTTATTGTCCCTGACTTCCTCCTGTCTGCTGTTGTTTGAAAATATACAAATGGTCTGGGTTGACTGCAAAAATAGAGCCATGCACTGGGATAAAAACAGTTGTCTGGTTCTGAATCAGGGGATAATACACAGCAAATAGAGCAAAAAACTCAAACTTCAGGTACCTGTGAGGATTGAGTGTGAACATTCAGCCAGTTCTCCACTTCTTCAATCTTCTTCTTGTGCACAGCCAGCTCAGCCTGCATACACAAAAACACACGAGGTGCATCTCAGTTCTCTTGGGTTTTATTCATGCATCCCCTCAACAGATATACATGAAGAAAGGGGGAGACAGAACGAAGTAATATCCTCAAAGAAACATGTGATGCCCGTTGGCAGTCTGCAATTACTTTTTTTTACAAGGTAGCACAAGCCAGGGACTGAGAGGACAGAGTGTTCCAACGGTCACTACTACTTAAAACAGCCTGAATCAGGTTCAGATTTTAAGGTGTGCTCATATTGTGCTAAACTTGTGTGTGTTAAATCATGAATTTTTTGTCCCCGCAGAAATACACACCATATCACAGAGGATATTTTCATGAGTTTCAGCTCTTTCACACACTTACAGGTACATTCTTTGTTGTTGCTACACTGACTGTGAATTAAAAAAAAAACCCTGAGGCTATTCCAGAGAGTTTTTACACAGCAGCTTTTTTCTTCCGGAGAGACATTTAGAGTGGGAAATCAAAAACCTTTACAGTTTGCAAAACGTATGAATTAAAATTTACATTTCCAGTTTCGAATTAAACCAATACAGGTCAAGGATTTACATTGTCTAAATAACCTAAGACTCCATTTTCTGTAGAGATGAAACTGGATCTCTAACTCACTCATTTAAACTCCATGCAACTCACGATGTAGCTTATGTCAGGCAAGAAATATATTTAATGTTGCAAAATTTATGAATATGTTTAAACTCTCCCACTTATAAGAAATTGTAAAACAGAAGTCTTTTTATATTAGATGATAATAATGTGGGTGTCTACATTCTTTTAGTTTTCCACCTTCATTTTCCAAACTCTGCATTTAATCATATAGGGCCATGTTCATACCGAAGGACTTTTCTGCATTGTTTGTACATTAAAAAAATCACTAGTCCAAGTATTTTGAGTTGATATAGAAAACTGAGATTGAACTTTTTTTTTATTTAGAATGAAAAGTGTAAAAGTGCGACCTGTGAGTGAGGGGTATATCTGTCCACCCAGGGCTCATCCTGGTCCCTGTGAGTCGACTCTTTCAGCAGGGAAGACTTCAAAGAGTCTGAGCAACTGTCTCCTTTCCTCTTCCTGCTTCTCTTTGCTTCACACTTTGAGTTTAAAATCTGACCTCCTTTTTTCCTCGCTGGCACAGAAAAACTTTCTGTGGGGAAATCAGTGAAGGATGGATCCACCCAGCGGTTCAGCTGTGTGAGACATAATCAGAGACAAATAATTGTAGACCCAACAACAATGACCCATGTGTGAATTTCACAGTTTTGATTCCATAAAAAGATGAATGGTTAGGGCTACATGTTACAAAGAACCTCAATATCTACAGTACATAAAGTCATTGACAGGCTCAGAGACTCTGGAGCAAGTAGAAAGCCCATTCATTAACTTGAACAGAAAAATAAATGCAGTACTGTTGGATTACTGACCCTGCTGGGAGCAGATTTGTCTCCCACCGACAGTCTGTTCATCCTCACTGAGCTGCTTCAGTCCGACAGCAGCACCAAAGACCCTGAAATACACAGCAGACAGTCATTAATATCAAAATGTCCAAAACAGAAAACACAACATGCATTCAATACAGTGATACTACACAGAAAATCATCACAGCAGGCTTAACACTACAACACAGTATCATATTTAATAAAATTAAATGTTCGTGTCCCTAACATTTAATATATGAATGATACATTTCCCAGTTAAAAGTCAGCATGTGATTTCTTCATCATAAATCAATACTCGTGCCTGTACAGGACAAGCTGAGCAAACAGTGCTTTGACCACAAGGTGAAGCCAAAATGACACAAACTAAAAATTCCTACCAGGACCTTTAAAATTAATCCAAGCCACTCACAGTCAGTGGCTGAAAGACCTTATGTCTTGCTTAGACCTTGAGAAGATTCGTTACTCGGTTGCAGGCAATGACAAACTTTCACCATTTTGAATTAGCACTCTCCTCTTCTAGTTGTTTTCTTTTTGAAATATATTTCTGTGATGTTTTATAATCATACATTATAATTTTACCCTCTTTTATGGACTTTTTCAGTTTTCAACGACTTGTCTACATTTGTATTTCTCTTAACGCACAGTAGTTCATTTAACTTATTCTCTTGTTACTTATTATTTCTCGACATCTTATGTATTTCAAGATCTATAAAACCTGAATTCCAGAACTTACTTGTTTTTTTTTTATGTACTTATTTATTTATTTTCTATTTTTTGTTATAGCTCCACAATTTGTTATTTAAACAAAGTAATAGAAATATCCAGCTGTAGATGGGGTTTTGAGGGAAAGGGGATGTTTGTAATGCGTCTTCTGTGTATATCTGTATAAAACTAATAAAAATATTGTTGAATTTAAAATTAATCCGAGCCACACATTTGAAATAAGTTAGGTTTACTATTTCTGTGCATCTTTACCTTTCACAAAGCTCTAAAATCGTTTCAGAACCTAGGAGACCAGTTTCTGGACTTTGTGAGGTGAAATGTTGTTTGGTCTTTTCCTGATACAGGATTTCAGCTCCACTGCAGGTCAGGGTCTCTTCTCACATCATAAAACTTTTTCAGTGTTTTGTTGTTCCTGTCCTGTTCTGAAAGGTATTACTACCATTAATTCAGAAATAAGAACATAATTATCATAAAGATAGATGTCTCGGATACAAAATCTCTATTATTTTAAATCAAATATCGTTTTTGAAGAATCCAAAAACACCAAAGTCTCCTTTTTTATGAACACCGTCTCCTTACTCTTACTGAACCGGAGTTCTGCTAAAGGTAACATCTGGACCAAAACGCCTCTATATTTCCAGACCTGATCAAAAGGACTAGTTTGTTTCACTTTAACTAACTTTTAGAGGTAAAATAAACATGGTGTGTGTTTGAAAACTTACCTTGGTGGCACATTTGTGTTCGTATCATACTCTCTGTCACTCTTTCAGTACAACTTGTTTATAGTAAGTCCTGGTAACACTCACATAGTGCGTTAAGCACTGGTATAAAGCTGTTCAAACCTGTATGAAAAGAGAGGTTTTAAAAGGAAAATGTGTTGAATTATCTCCGAGTTCAAAATTTAAACTCCAGCATCCGTTGTCTGCCGCACTTAGTCTGGCATTGACGTAAAAGTGTCGCGAAGCTTCATCAGTTTTCGGCAGTGTTTGTTGGTGGCATATCTGTCTGCTTGGTGAGACCGTAAACGAACTGTCAGGTACCGTAGGACTAATTATTCTGCTATTAACTGTCCAGATTTGTTTTGGGGCATTTGTCGAGTAGATCAATGTGTCTACACGGTCAGAAATACAGAAGTAAAAATGTATATTTCTTCTTTTCAGGTCGTGGACATAGAAACACGTGTGTGCTGCTAACAGAGCTATGAAGATGAAGAAAAGACCAAACATCCTCTTAACAGGTGAAAAGAAATAATTCAAGTCTGATTGATATGATTCAGAACTCATCTGTTCACTGTTTTCATCTTTATGCTGCAGTTTATCGACTATAAAAAATGAAAATGAAGTTTTTGTTAGTATTTGAAAAGATCATGACTAAAACTGATTTGGAGAGGAGTAAAAATTTTGAACTCTAAAACGAGATTTTTGGTGTTTTAAGAATTGAGAGAAAAAAGAAACAGAGTAAATGAAAAAAAAAAAGTATGCGTTTGGTGGAAAAAGTACAACTTCAATTGCTTTACGTGGGGATCCTGTGGCAATGATATACACACCCCTTTAATGCACAGCATGGGTAAAAGATAACCCACATTCGTTTTCTATATGATTTCATGCTGGGTGAGTATTTCTTTGCTATATATTTTAAAATCAATTAATTTTATTTTACTCTCTTATTTTATTGACAAAATGTGTTTTCCAATCCAGGTTTATTCATAAAGCACATTTAAAAACAACAAAACACTGACCAAAGTGCTGTACAGTAAAAATTAAAAACAATAAAAACAGACAATTAACATGAACAATAAAACAAAGACACAGGAACACATTAAAAACAGGGGGACATATATGGTTCAGTAAAAACATGATTAAAATGCAGAGTTCTCAAGTGTTAAAAGCCAGGGAGTAAAAGTGCGTTTTCAAATTTGATTTAAAAACAGGCAGTGAGGGGCACAATCAGACATGAAGAGGAAGAGCATTCCAGAGCTAAAGGCGCAGCAACGGAAAAAGCCCGGTCACCCTTGAACTTTAATCTTGACCTAGGGACAGTCAGAAGGCACTGATCAGAGGATCTGAGAGTCCGAGATGAAATGCAGGGATTTAAAAGGTCAGAGAGATAAAAAAGGAACAAGCCCGTTTAAAGATTTATAAGTTAATGACAAAATTTTAAAAGCAATCCTAAAACGCACAGGAAGCCAGTGAAGAGAGGCTAAAGTAGGGGAAATGTGGTCGTATTTACAGTGACCAGATAAAACATGAGCTGCGGCATTTTAAACGAGCTGTAAACGATTAAGAGAGGTTTGGCTGGCACCAAAATAAAGTGCACTGCAATAATCAAGGCGAGTTTTGTATTATTACATCAAGTTTACACACATGGGTCTAAAGTGGGACCCATTTATCAAAGTGCGTGGATAATGTGTGCTCACAGACAACAACCTCCACAACACTGGACTTTGGCGAAAATCTGTTACGCATATTTGCAAACTAACTTTGGATGATATGGACACTATACACATCATATTTTAATTGTTAAGAAAACCAAGTCTCTTCTGCAACAGAAATGACCTGTTACTCTCACCGTGGTGCTCCTTTTGTTTTAGAAACAGACACATAGCCAAGCAAATGACATTTGATTCTACGATAAATGATAAATGTATACTCCTTTAAATATAGACTTGTAGTGATGTGTCTGCTGTCTGTTTCTGACACCCCATGCATGTTGTAGCTCGTTGTTGGCCTGTGTAGGCTGTCTTCACACATAACTAATTCGACACTTTGTTGGCTGTACATAATGGTAGAAATGTTGGTATCCCTTAGAAGTGATTTTGAGACAATGCAGTGATTTCCACTAAAGAGACAGGTCTATTTTTAGTACAGGGCTGTAAGTAAGTTAACTTTATTTGTATAGCACTTTACATAGACAGAGATCACAAAGTGCTTTACAAAATGGAGAGAGTAAACAATAAAATGAGAAATATAACAAATATAAAACAGTTTCACTCAACAAGAAATGTAGTAAAAATATAATTAAGGCTAATTAATGTAATGATTATAAGCAATAACTGACAGAATAAGACTGGTAGTTTAGAGAAGTGATATTGTTTGAAAATGTGTTGCCCACATATATGCCTGTCTAAACAGATATGTTTTTAGCTGTTTTTTAAAAGTATCAACAGAGTTGTCAGACTATAAAGAAAAAAACGGCAGAGAATTGGCAACAGCTTCATAAGCACAATCTCCACAAGTCCTCAGGCCTGTCTGTGGGAAAGACAGCAGGTGTTGAGAGTTGGACCTAAGGGAACAAGCTGCTGAGCAAGCGTGAATGAGTTCTGACAGGTAGTCTGGGGCGTGATCATGAGGGGTTTGAAAAGTGAGTGTGAGAATTTTAAATTGTGCTGCCTGAAGGTCCCAACCATCCAGTACTGGTTTTAGGCCAAGTCTCTTTTGAGACTTCTTAAGATTCTCAGAATCATTTAACGTTGTGAACTCCAGACGATGAAATCCATAAATACTTTTTTTTACAGCTTTTGACAAGTCACAGCAACAAGGAGGAACTACTCTTAACAGGTGTAAAACTTGAGTAGGACCAGACTCATGATGAATAGAGACTGTGTTGGGATTAGAAAGAAGGATTGAGGTAGATTCCGAGAAAAAGATGCTTAAGGAATAAAAGTAAAAATAAAGGAGGAGTTTATTCAGATATCAAATAAAAAAAACCTGATCTGGTCTTAAATTTATCCATTTTTAGTTGTACACAATGTTATACAAAATCTTCAACATGGTGTTTTCTCCTTCAGGGACCCCAGGTGTTGGAAAGACGACATTAGGGAAGGAGCTCGCCCAGAGGACGGGACTGACCTACGTTAACATTGGAGACCTGGCTAAGGAAGGTAAACACTGATTAAAACTTGAATAATATACTCGACTGGATTGGTGAGAGTTCAGACTCACGCTGAAGCTGGTCTCATGGTTTGTTTTCCTTTAACAGGACAGCTGTATGATGGTTATGATGAAGAGTACCAGTGCCCCATCCTGGATGAAGACGGGGTGAGTGTAACTTCTGAACACTCCTGAACCCCCACAGGGTAAATTTGGAAGTTAGGTTATAATAGCTGGTCCTGTCTGTTTGTAAACTGGATCCATAAAACCTGTAGCCTCAATGAAGGTGGTATTACTTTAAGATACACACATCTGACTGCATGAAAACAAAAACAGCTTAAAGTCCCTGTGGGTATGATTAGAGACATTTCACCTCTCTGCTTCTGAATCGTTTGATCTTATTAACTGAGCTGTAATCCCACTGCTCATTATAACTGATTCACCATCACTTTTCACAACATATTCTGTTGGGATTTTAAAAACTGATTTCACTCCAACAAATAATCTTAAGAGATGTTTTCATAAGTGTGTTCTGGTTTTCTCTCAGTGTAACTTGACTCTTACATGCTGCAGTTTTAGAGTGGGATATTTGCACAAGGGTTCCACCAGTGTTGTTGTTTTAGGGTCAGTACAGATATTCATGTTCATGAAAGAGTTGACTGACATTTGTTTGTTTCATAAAAAAAAATATCCAAGCTATTTCAATAGTAATTATTGCAGATGAAGTAAAAGTAGCAATAGGTCTTTGTGGGACATTTACAGAAATTGAATGGTGTATGAAAACAGATCTAAAAGACAAGCCAGGAGCAGTGTATTTCTCTAATAGTTAATTAGTTTATCAGGTATCAGTGACATAAAATACCCATTCAGATTATCAGCTAAATTCTGAATGTTGGACCTGGTAGTCATCAATCCTTAATTTACACCTCTGTTTATGTCTTGTATGCAGTATTTGAGTTGGCTGGGTGGAAAAGCACTTTGTGTGTGTACTGGAGATTTTCCAACAAGCGGTTCACTATGGTTTATTAGAGCATAGTACTGCTTGAGTATCAATTTCCAAACATATCCTTAACTGGTAGGCAGAGGTGATAATCTCAATGGTGATAGATGTTAGGGTTGTGTAATAGTGGGATATCATACCAGTATTGCCTGCTGTTGAATTTAATGAAGAAGAGGAACGCTCCAGGCTGACATCTTTCAACAAAAAAGAACCGTGGCATTATACTCTTCAAGTCCACGGTATATTTAAAAGTAATGTTTTTTGTGTTTATCTGCCACACGAGAAGTAACAATTCTTTCAATTTATGAATGGATTTTATGGTGGAACTAAACAGACTGCAGAAGGATGCCAAAAATATAGGATGGTACAAGCTGATTAATACCTTTGCCAACCTTTGACCGTAGAAAGGAAAAAGTTACATTAAAATAACAAAAAAACAGGTCCATTTGTGATTAAAATCATCTCCAGATTTAAATTTATACCTGACATTAACTCTGTGTCATGTGACTCTGGTGCAGGTGGTGGATGAGCTTGATGAAAAGATGGAGGAAGGAGGAATGATAGTGGACTATCATGGCTGCGATCTGTTTCCTGAACGTTGGTTTCACATCGTCTTCGTCCTTCGCACAGACAACACACAGCTGTACACGCGGCTTGAGAGCAGGTACCCTCCTCCTCCTCATCACTACAATCTATCACTTCCACTTTATCACATTGTTCTTCATCTTTACCCTGAGCCTCCATCACTCTCAGAGACTTTTTGTTTCTCTTTCTGAATACATAATGAATACATTCTCAGGGTAGAAGGACCATTTCATCCGCTATGACAGAAAGTGTCTCTGAACAACACAGCCTACCCTACCTTTAAGGGCCGATTGCTATTATCAGTAATTGATGAGACCAATAATCCATGTTTGCATCTGACATGCATTGACCGTAAAAAAGAAAAACTTCATGTTGAAATTTAAGGTCTGACATATTTTGAACTCTGACTTAAGAATTTGCTTAAACACCTAATACCTCATTTCATTGGCCAACTGCAAATAAAAGGCAGATAGGGCCTATAAATGGTCTGCCCACGTAAAATGAGAGGGAAAGAAAAGAGAGAGAGAATTAGATAGAGGAAAGCCTTCAGTGTGAACACTCACCAAAAACCCAGAAATGATGTGGATTACAGAACAGCCAGAGGGCTGCAGTGTGAGCGTGCCTCTCTGTGGAGGAAGTGAATAATAAATCATGTGAATTGACATTTGTGTTGCACAGCTATTTCGAGAGTGTAAAATCTGGAGCTAGTTTCGACTGAGTTTGTTAGAGTTGATTTGCAGTCCTGTATTATTCCAGTCTGTCCCTGACCTTTAGCGCCAAATCTCTCTTCAAATAAAAGTAATTCAAGCGCTGATATAAAATGACAAATTGTTGGTCCCGGTGTTGATGTTACACCTTCAGGGAAGTGTTGTATCATTTTTTCATCCAGCTCTTTGTGGAGGAGGTGGTGGTGTTGGGAAGCCACATAGACACGTCAGCATCCTCCTCTCCTCCACCAACTCTCTTTCATAGATATCTCTGTAGTTACTAATAATCAGAATAGTTTAAATTGAGAGACAACATCTCTTCAAGTTCACTCATAGACACATTTTAAGATCAGGTTTTAGGATAAATCTTTGCCATTCGATCACTGATGTGTTCTGAGATCAAATTTATGTCAGTGTGTTCCTCATCTTTTGTCTTACACATTAATGGTGTACATGCAGACATATTGTCCCACCTGTATAATGAGATGAGTCATAGATTGACTAATCTTTCCTCTGTGTGTTGTTGAGATAAACTTTTCCGTGTGTTTTGGCTGACAGGGGCTACACAGGAAAGAAGCTGCAGGACAACGTTCAGTGTGAGATCTTTCAAACCATCTATGAAGAGGCCATGGAGGCCTACAACCATGAGATTGTCCATCAGTTGCCCAGCAACAGTCCTGAGGACCTGGAACAAAACCTGGACCAGATCGTGCAGTGGACTGAGCAGTGGATAAAGGACCACAACTAGAAAGCGGACTCCCGCTGGTTTCACCTTTAGGGCCTCAAACTGAACATCATTATTTTCATAGACTGTGTCATCATGCAGACTACCAGTATGCTTAAAGTATAATCCCTATCTTTTATAGTCTGCTTCTGTCTCTGGTGTAACTGGGATTTCTTAAAAATGGACCTCAGTCAGTGCATCAAAATTCTGTCTATTTGTATAAAAATTAAAGCATGAAAATAGATTTGTCGCTGTATCTTAGTGGTAATAAATACAGCTCAGTATCTCACTGTGGCGGTACTTTCTGTGTCCTTTACACACTGTTGCTGGTCCTGGTCTGATGTGGACTAGGCTCTGGAGCAGGTCTGCTTTAAAGGCCTCTTGATCTTGATAACAAATGAAATGTTGAAACTGGTGTATACTGCTTTCCATAAAATACATAGTTTGTTTAATTTTGGTGCTGGAAACATGTTCCAAAAAGTTAGGAGAGGGGCATGTTTACCAATGTGTTGCATCACCTTTTTTAACAACACTCTGCAAACATCTGGGAACCTGGAAAACCAGTTTTTGGAGTTTGGAAAGTGAAATACTGTGAAAATGATTTCAGCTGCTAAAAAAGTTCATGGTTTCACATTTACCATATTTTGTTTCATGATACATGATACTCCAAATGGTTTCAACGGATAATAAGTTAGACCAGCAAGGCAGGACTCTTCTACTACAGGGACATGCTGTTGTAATATGCGCAGAGTGTGGTCAGGTATTGTCATGATTATTCATGCAAGGTCTTCCCATAAAAAGGAGAGGATTCAAGAGAGAGGGAGGAATAAGAATAAGAAGAACTTAATTAATTCCTGAAGGGAAATTCAATTGTCTGTTGTCTCACATAATATGTCTCTAAAAGTTATCTACTATTTACACAAGAGTTATAAAGTCTAATGGCTGTTGGTACAAAAGATCTTTCTGTCCTGCAGCAAAGAGAGAGGAGCCGTCCACCACCATTGGCCCTTTGGTCCATCAAGATGTTGTGAAGTGGGTGATCCATGTTCTTTAGAATAGACTCCACCTTCCATTTTCAGCTGTGACTTCAGATCAGCCACCGAATAGATATAAACATGATTGGTGGACTAAAGAAAAATGGCAAAGAGTTTTGCAACTTTTTGTACCATATGTTTTCTCTTCATGCCTAGTTATTTATTCTTTTCATTCTTGGTATAAATTGTAATTAAGTCTGAAAGTTTAGGGCTCCATCTATCTGAATCACTTTTTTATTCATGTCAAAGTTTGTACAAGGATGATCCTCAATAAGCATCAGACTAGAAAGTGTTATAACTTGTTAGCTGTTTATGTACAGTTGATCCAGCTATGAACACAAACAGATGATTTATAGTGAAGGATGTCTTGTCTGCTTAAACTGATTTCCTTGTTCCCTCTCTCTCTCTCGTACCTCTAAGCGCATCCCTGACAATAGGGAATAAGACACGAGTGAACAACACCATTAAAGTCAGTAAGAGGAGCTGCAGTTTGAATGATTACCTCATTCATGGTGTGCTTCTCTTCGGAGGCTGTCATACTTTAAAAGTCACTCTGATATTCAGTGTTCTTTTGCTGTTTGTTTTTTTACCTCTCCCTTGTATTAAACTAAAAGGCTCAAGAGAGCAGATTGAAGATTAGTGGTCAAATGTTGTCACAGCTGACGACAGGTTTAATTTCTCAACCTTGTAGATTACATTCATCTGAGAAAAACCTCTCATTTTGTCTGTTTTTGAATTTCTCTATCAAATGTTGTTTTTTAAATCTATGCCAAAAAAGTTCACATCAAATGCCTGGCTTCCTGGTACGGCACAGCATTAATAATTTAAGCAAAAACAGGTAACCCAGATTGTTTTACCGTGAATCTTACATTGACGTGGAATGCGTTACACTAAAACTCATCACCAAATGGATTGGTTGCCAAATTTATCTCAAGAAATGAACTTTATTGTCTGATTGATCGTGCAATGTGAGATCCACATAAAACCAACCACAAACGATCAGGTTTTATTAGTTTAAAATTGAGAGTTTTCAATTTTTTGTTTCACTTCAGTTTTGTGTTTTAATAAAACACAAAACTTAAGTAGACTTACTGTAATAACTTGTCAAAACTTTTATGACAAGTTATTATAGTAAGTCTATTTGCTGTGCTGCTGACCCTGATAGGAACACTCCTGTAGATTTTAATTTTTAGTCATTAAAATTAGGTTGTTTAAATTTAATAACTTTAAAAATTTAATTAAAAACTTGACATAAACTGTTAGTAAAACTGGTTAGAGCGGCACTAAGAGGTGTGATCTGGTGACAAGTTTGGCTGCAGGTCCTGGATCCTGTTTAAACAGTGTTTCCATGACGTTAGCACACCTCAGAGCAGACAGGTACACCTGCACACTGCTCACATATGCTCTCAGTCCAGGTGTGGTGATCACGGAGGCTCTTCACGCTCACAGGTATGTCACATAGATCTCTTAAACCAGCGTTAAAGCAGTAGAGAAGGAGGTTAAATATATGTTTAACCGACCTACATTATTCAGGTTAATGTCATTTCACAGCGTTTAAGTTCTTCAGTCCCGTTATCAATTCAGCAAAAGCCGGTAATGTTAGATCTACGGCGCCCTGTGAGGATCAAACCTCGTAGACGAGGATGACGTGTACACACGAAATTCAAAATCCGGTTTGTCATTTTCACAATAAGAGCGCTCAATAATTATTATCTATACTTGTTAATTTTTTTTTCATCGGTCAATCAGTAATTTTTCATAGTTTTGACATGATTTAGGATGAATGAGTACAAATAACATTTTCTTTTTCAAATATAACTTGTTATTTTGATTTCATTTCATTTAGTTATTTGTTTATTTAAAAGGGACAATGCACATTAATTAATATAAAAGTGTCAATATTCCAGATTTAGCTAATTTTCATCTGTAGTCCCTGGCAGATTAAGGGGAAAAAAAACATAAAAAATGGAGGCACAGTGACAGACAAATACAAAGATCATCCATACAACATGGAAGTCACACATGAGACAGAATTAAAGACAACATCAGTCAACAAGAAGATACTAAAGGAATAGAAATAAGACACTGTTATCTGACATAGAAAACAAAACAGAGGAAGAACAGTTATCTGTGGTTACATGACTGGTTCCTCTTTGGCTAAAAGACTGATTAAATTATGTCTTCATCTGTAGAGTCCATCAACTGTTGGGATTTTATGAATTGTGGAAGTGTAGTTCATGTGTAAAATGTACAAATTTTTATTTGAGGAAGTTGTCAAGGTGGCGCATGCATAGGACAGCTTCATCAATTCAAGTTGTACAACTACAAAGTCAAAGCATAGATAGATAGATAGATAGATAGATAGATAGATAGATAGATAGATAGATAGATAGATAGATAGATAGATAGATAGATAGATAGATTGTGACAAGCACAACAAAATTAAAACTAGTGCAGAGTTAAAACCAGTAAAAGAATAAAAACTACACCCATAAATACATGGTCAACTCATCATCTGGCTTTCAATGTATTGTTGTAAAGAGAGTATTGATGTTTTATTTATAGTCATAGTAAAATGACATGTCAAATTCTAAAACTGAGGAATGTAAAAACTTTGAACTCATTTAAATTGGACGCCATCAACACGTTCAACACAGGGGAAAAGGACATGTGTTGCATAACTTCATCATGCAACAACACTGTCAAGTCTTGGGTTACTGGAAGACCAACTTTTTTTTTTTTTTTTTTTTTGTCAATGAAGAAAATTGAAAAAGGGAAGTTGCTGTGAAAGCCAGACTCTACCAGTGAGGTGCGAATATTGGCTGACACTCCTGATTTGATTTTACTTTTGTGGCTTCCTGAGATCTTATAAGAGATTGTATAAATCTTTTCTCGAGCTTTTGAATTTTCTTATTTTTCATGAGTGAGTTAAGGAGAGAGAAGATAAAGTCTTATTTTGAAATCGTGCTCACAGCATGTTCCGTTTTCCCACGATAGGGGGCGCTGTGTCGCTCTGTCCGGCTTAATGTGAATTCGGGTCGTTAATAGTCGGAAGTTCAGTTTCTGTCTTGGTGTGTGTCAATCTGTGGATTTAAATGGACAGACGGGTGTGATAAAATGGGTAAGACAAAGGTTTTTGTTAAATATGTGGTGTTTTGGGGGTTTGAAGCAGCGGGGCTGAGCTGTGAGTGTGACCGAAGATCAGTGACTGTAAGCGGGTGTGAGGTCAGTCTATCAGCCGGTGAATGGGAGCGGTGGTGTAGAGAAATCTGTTGGAGTCAGTGAGGAGCTGACTGTCATCTGAGGTCTTTACTGAGGAAAAACAGCAAGGAGGTTTTACTGTTAAACACTAAAAAAATCACACCAAATATGTGAAGCAGACTAACCTTACACAGCAGCTCCTGTTGGACTCAGGTTAGAGTTATGACGGTTAGATTAGGGCTGAGCTCGGGGCTCAGGCGCAGGTCACATCTGTGGTCTCGTTCTAACTATAATCTGTATAATATAAAAAAGTTTAGTCGCTATTGAAGATATCAATAAGGATAGGATAACAACCTATCAAATGTTGAAAGTGTTTTTTTTTTTATGAAAAATGTAGAACCATTGCTACGGTGGCCGAAAACCGCCACTGCTGCAAATAAAAAAAGAATGCAAAAAAAAAAGAAGCCACAAACGTGAGTGTATATACTATGGACAACTTGGTTCCGCCTCTCGCCAGTATATGGATTTGAAGTTAAAAAGCGATTTCCGCGATTTTTCTTCATTTCCTGAAACCAACAGTGCGCAGTAGCATTGTACGCATTCAGCAGGAGAGTCGCCGAGAGTCTCTGTGATGACGCTCGGCTCAAACAGCGTATCCCCCGGGTGAGCTACACAATCTTCGTACACCCATAGGCTGTATTAGGTGTCAATCATAGAAAACATGAACATGAATAACTTTTTAAAATGGAGCTGTACAGAAAAAAGAGGACTTGAGCACAAACCTGTCTTACAATCACAACATGTCAACATCGCGAGCAGGGGGGAGAAAAATTTATAGTCTGTGTAGTAAATTTTTAAAGTTTGTCCACAGCTCCGTAAGCTTTGCTGGCGGAGGCGGGATGTATGACCTATACTGCAGCCCATCAACAGAGGGTGCTGTTCTCGGAGTGGTTTCACCCAGCTAGGAGGCAGATGCTGTCCATTCTATATACAGTCTATGGCCATAATAGAAGTTACCAATGCAAAAAAAAAAAAGAAACTGAAGCCCGCTGCAAATAAAAAAAGGAACGGAGCAGATTAAAAAAAAAAAGCCACAACAGAAGTTAACGACACAAAAAAGGGTCTTGTTTTTTTTGTTGTTTTTTTTGCATCGGGCTTCAGTTTCTTTTTTTGCATCGGTAACTTCCATTGTGACTTCTTTTTTTTTTTTTGCGTTCTTTTTAAAAAAAATTTTTTTATCTGCAGCAGTGGCGGTACTCGGCCACCGTAAATTTTAAAATTAACGCAGCTAACACGTTTTTTTTTTTTTTTTTTTTTTTTTCTTTGAAAGACGTAGAGTTTTCTGTTTTTATCATCAAACAAAGAAATAATCAAAATAATGCAAAAGTACCTACCATGACTAACTTGTTTGTTGTTGTTGCTCTTATAAAGAGTGCTTATTTGTTTATTTCTCCTTCTACCCCTCATCCTCAGAGGGCAGGGACGATGCCTCAGACCAGGATGATGAAGCTGGTGGTTACGGGAGATGACTTTGGTTACTGTCCCAGGAGGAACCAGGGCATCGTGGACTGTTTCCAAGCCGGAGGACTGTCTAATGTGTCCCTGCTGGTCAACGCCACCGCCGCCAAAGAAGCTGCAGATCTTGCAAAAAGGTGAGGAAGCTCCTGATGACATTGATGTGTCTCTGTGTAGGATTTGCCCTTAATGTAGTGAATATGAAACATAAAACTTAAATATATCTCAAATGTAAACAGACTTAATAGCAAGGTAGAAACTAACCCTCACGGTGGGGTTGCGGACAGGTGGTGTCAATCTTTAAGAGTGCCAAAAATTGGCTGAAAAGGGAAGTAACTCCTTGTTTTCACCTCACTTTACCTGACATATCTCCTCACCAGACACAACATCCCCATTGGTCTCCATGCCAACCTGACAGAGGGTGTACCTGTATGTGAGAGTCTGCAGACGGACTCTACGCTCGTCAACCAGCGGGGGTTCTTCCAGGGGAAGATGGGGTTCAGACAGGTGCTGCAGAGAGGACAGCTGAGCATGAAACAGGTACAGCACACCCGGATTATAATTCTGAGCCTGATCCTGAATCTGTGGTAGTCTGCGGTAATTTAGCCTTCTGTCTCAAACTGTACCTTACGAACCTCAGTCCACTCTTTAATAAGTCTACTATTTTCATATCAGACCTCATCAGTAGGTGGTTTCAGTTTCACTTGTTGATCATAAACATTAGAGTGATAATCTTTCGTTCCATTAACTGTGTGTTTTTTGTTTTTCTTTATCGATCAGGTGGAGCTAGAGCTCAGAGCTCAGGTGAGGCTGTTCACAGATCTGACAGGTCACCTGCCTCAGCACATGGACGGACACCAACACGTCCATGTCCTACCAGGTAACCATTCCCCACAGGTGTGCAGTATCTGACTTAACAGACTAAACATGTTGACAGCAGGAGTAAATAAAATATTATTGTTGTTTATTATATTATTATTATTGTTGGATGTATTATGTCTCTAGAGGTTGATAACTTTGTAGCACAGGACAAATACACAGCATGATATATAAAATCTCTCTTACATCTCTAAAACAAATCACAAGTAGTGCAGTTCATCATTTGAACAGGTTTTGACTGGCAAAGGACATTTCGGTGCCATAGGGATGTAATCTTACCATCCCTTTCTGCACCAGCTGCAGGATAATAGTCGCTCCTTTGCATTTAAAATTAGCCAAGGGAAATCCCTTTTCAACTCAGCCTTGTATTTGTATATTTCTCTTTTTTCTTTACCCTTACTTTATATTTATCATTGTTTCTTAGTGTCAGTTTGTGTAATTACACCTTTACTTTTGTGTAGGGGGCCAGTGCCCCAGTGAGTTTGCCCCATGGCCCTAAATATCCATAGTTGACAGATTTACATCTTAGTATCTTCAAAATTTACCAGACATTTAATTAAAAATACAACCCAAATTTTACAAAAGTGAGGACATCAGACACATCCTTTAAAACATGCATTAGATAAAGCCTTTTAACCATTATAAACCCTGACCTATCAACCAGTGCATTTGGGGTAGATTATAGGTGTTGGATGGTGTTTGACGAGTGTGTGTGCAGAGTACTATAGTGGTTATTCTGTGTGTTTCAGGCGTACGTGAGGTCTTTGCTCAAGTTCTATCGGACCTCGGGATCTCCTTCACTCGGGTTCCAGTGGAAGCAGGTTTACACAGCTGCACCTGGCTGCCCCCACACCTACACAGGTTCTACACACAGGTGGAGCAGGATGCTCTGGACTCCATACCGGTCTTCACACGCTACGGAATCAGGTTTGATCTGTGTGTGTGTGTGTGTGCGTTACTATCATGGCTAGCCAGCACACTTTGCCTGTAACAGCCCAGATGATTAACCCTAATCTCTTTTCAATGATTGACAAGTCAGGACTGTGGGCACGCCAGTTTAGCACCCGAAAAAGACCATTTTCTGGCGTTTGGCTTCCCAGATGTGAAAGCTCCCCTCATTTATCGGGAATGCTGGCTCTAGTAGCAAATGCTGATGTCAAACCAGCTGGTCCTGCTCCTTTTTAGAGTGTAGCATCTGTGGTTTCCAAAAAGAATGTCAGATGTTGATTTGTTAATCCACAGGGAGGTTTTCCACTGTGCCTCAGTTCATCTCAATTAGGAGCAGATCATGTTTATATATGGCTCAGTCTCTTACATGGTCCAGTTCTAACCTGTATTTGTGGATTAGTGATTAACCTCATTAGTCGGAGGATAGTCCTCCAACTTTTTTGTTTGTTTGTTTGTTTGTTTGGCATTACACAACTTTTTTCAGTGTTTTCTTGTCACTGCCTCAACTATTTTGATAATTTTTTTTTTATTTAAAATGAGTGCATGTTTTTCATTAAAAAAACAAACGTTACTCGGTTTCAACACCTGTGTGTGTTCTGCATTATTTTCAGTTAAAACGAGGCTTCAAATGATCAACAAACCACCAAAACCTGTTTTATCAACATGTAACTTCTTCTACATGAACATTGTTTTGATAGGATATAATTGTGAATTTGTCTGATAACCTATTTTAAGGTTTACTTCTAACATTACGTGCCCATGAGTTTGCCTGTGTGGTGTCCCTCATTGTGAGTGTGATGTTGTTGTTGGATCAGTTCAGTGTAACATGAAGTTATTTGTGTATTTTGATGTGATGGTTTTCAAACTGAGTGGGTGACCCTCTGTGTGTCTTCAGGTGGCCCGACACGTACCTGGGACTGACCACCATGGGACAGAACATGTCAGTGTCTAACCTGCAGAGGGCACTCCACCTGGCACTATCCACGGGACACTCCACTTCTGCCTCCGGCGAGGACTCGGACTCCGCAGTCACTGCAGAACTCATGGTCCACCCCGGTTACCCTTCCCTGCCCCAGCAGGGGGGATGTGGAGAGGGACCAGATGATTTCTCCCAGTCATCTGACAGACAGCACGAACTGAGCGTGCTCAGTAACCCAGCTGTGCTGGACATGTACAGGCAGGAGAGAGTGCAGCTGTGCGCCTTCAAAGACCTTTGACAACAAGGAAAAGGCATTGAAGTTTACCGCAACACTGTGTTTATTTGTAATGAACACCATTACCCATCAGCCCCAGGCAGCCACGGGTGACATACGCACAATTTATGTCTATTTGAGGAGGAACTAAAACTGTCAGGAAGTTGAACTGGGTTACAAATGAAGGTTTATAAATCATTAAAGCTATAACAGGTTCATGTAGAAACGCAGTAAGCTGATTTAGAATAAAGACTGAACTTTCAGAGAGTGGATCTCTGCAGAGATGCAGGACCCTACAGAAAACTGAAGTGTCACACAACAGAGTGTTGTGTCGTCTGACAGGAGGAGGAAAGTGAAGAGGTTAATCTTTAAGCCATAGAAAGTTCTGCTGCATTTCATTTTTGATACAAGTGAACTTATTGCACTCCTACAGGCCCTTCATTGCACAGATTCTTTCCTAACACGAGTTTTAATGTTGTTTCCGTTCACTGAAAACTGGAAAAAAAAAACGAGGGCGATTTGACTGAAACACTAAAAATTTCAAGCAGCTCAATGATCACTCACAATTAATAGAAGCAATAAAAAGCGGGAAACACAGCTGAAGATCAGACTGACAGTAAATAGTAAGGAGAGGGGAGGTGTTCTCCCCACCATTTTCAGATTTAGGCATTCCATGTGCACGTATGGTAGAGCAGGGATCTCTCGGACCAGAACCATACCACCACACACGGTGGTGGTATGGGCATGGGTATGGTATGGGCATTTTTTCGTTGTATGTAGAGACTTTTTGCTTAAATGAACTCCTGCAGAGTTTATTCCACTTCAGATTCGTCCAGTTTTTAGTCAGGTCACTAAGATTGCAGTTCTTTATCAAGCTGTAAAATAATGTGACTATATAGATTTCTAATGTTTGACTATGAAACATTAAGTGATTTTAACTTGGGATATGCACCTTTTATCTCTAAGAGGAATAAATGTTTTTACCCTTGTCATTCAAAGCCAGAATTACTAGTTGGTTAAACAAATGGTTAATATTTTTATTATTGTAGGCCTGAAATTTAGTGAATTGTTGTGTCTAGAGCCATAACCCAACTACCCTCCACTAACTGTGGTTGTGAATGGCCTTTCCAGTCTGACCAGAGCTACATATTTGATAAGTTCTACATGCATGTGACCAACTTTTATGGAGGGGCCACCTCCTGGTTAGAAGAAGAAAGCTGACAGAATGCATAGCGTGTGTCTTTTTGATACCTCCAGCACTGCAAAGTGTAACTTCTACACACAGGAAATCAAAGCCATGTTGATGAGCCTGTTTTCTGTGTGACGGCAAAGATGGAGACTGATGAGCTGCCATAAACTACCATGTGGATACACTGCCACTTTGTTTCCAACATGTCTGACCTCACCTGTGCGACTGATTCCAGATTCAGCTGTCTGCGTAAAATGTTTAGATTTATACAGAAGCAACAAACTAAACCCGTGTCATTTTAAAAATGTTACTTCACACCGTTATTATTATTAATGAAGTTATGTCTTTGTATGCTATTTGTGACTCAGTTAATGAGTTTGATCAGCACACAGTAGTCTGATGTCTATTCTGTTTAATAGAGAAGGTTAAAAAAAAGCAATAATGTGTCTGTGATTGAAAAAGAGATGATTGTCTCAGGTTATGTAATTTAAAGCTTCTAATCAGCTGTCAAGTGTGTGTCAGTAGGTGAATGTGTGTTTAACTTTCTGAACACCTTTAACTGCACAGGGTGTTTGTCATATATATGTCTCTGTGTGTATATATATACATATATATATATATATGTATATGCATAGCTGCTCTTATTTTTCTATCAAGTGTCTGTAGAAACTTTTTATGAATTGTCCTATTTAAATACAGAAATCACAATACTGTAAACTAATAAATGGTGTTAAATTACTGCATAATGTTACTCTGTCTTCATCACTAAAAGAAAGGTTCAACTTCATTTTCACAGCTTCTTCCCCTTTACTCTTAGCGGCTGAATTTTGAGTCAAAGCACTTGATTGTATCCCAATTCCACAAAGTTGCGATGCGGTGAAAAATAATGATAATAACAGGATGTAATGATTTGTGAATTGTCAGGAATCCATGTTTAATTAAAATACTACAAAGACAATAAAGAATGGAACTAAAACTTGTGAATCTCCATAACATCATATATGCTGGCTTTTGAAATGTGCACTGAAGACAAACCAGCCAGTCCTGCTCATCTGAAACACTCTAGGCTTTTGGCGCAGCAATAGGCGAGCAGTCTAGGCTCACCCCACATAACCTGGGTTCAAATCCACCCTGTGGCCTCCATCCTGTATGTCATTCCCCACTCTGTCTTCTGTTTCCTGCTCTATCCACGGTCCTCTATACATCAGTAAAGTCCCAAAAAATAGTTGTGGCATCTATGATTTCCAAAAAGAATGTAGGATGCCCCTGTTTAGAAAGGAAAGGACAGTTGATGGAGCAGGAACCCAGGAAAGGGAGTGGAGAGTGTCATCAGTAATGAGGGCTGCAGGTTAGAAAGAAACTGCTGCCAGCTTGAGGACCACAACCTTTGAGCATGGGGAACTCTGGATCACACTTATATACAGTGTCCTTAATGAATGGTTGTGTATTCTGAATTTCTTTATTTATTTATATCTGGACATGGTTTAAAAAAATGTATATAAAAAAACATACAAAACAACAGTTAAGAATAAAATAAAATAAGTGCCTCACTTAGAAGCACATCAGTCTCACATATCACAACAAAATGAGAACAAAAGTGAGATTGATGTGCTTCTAAGTTTGTGTATGCACCAGCTAAGTATGTTGGCAGGTTATGGTTTTTGGATGTGATTTTGAGCCCATGCAGTGATTTCCATTTTTAGACTCATGTCTGTTTTGATGCAGTGCCTCTCTGGGACCTGATGATCATGTCCATCCAGTATTAATCCTGGGCCCTTTTCCATTTGTAGAGGTTATAACAGATTTTCTGAATCTTGACATTGTATTATATGCTGAAGGTGATGAAATCCTCTAAGTCTTTGCAAATATATAAAGGAACTTTATTTTGAAGTTGCTGAGATATTTGCTTACACAGTTTCTAACAAAGTGGTGGACTTATTCTGATCTTCTTGAGAGACTCAAAAACCTCTTTTAACTCATTAGTTGGGAGATGTTCCTCCAGTTTTGTTTTTTTTTTGCCCCGTCCCAACTCCTTTGAAACATGTTGCTGACATCAAATTTAAAAAAAAAACTATTTTCATAAAACTAGATGATTTACTCTTTTAATATCTGATTTGATGTCTTTGCGCCATCTTGGATTATAATTAAATGATTTGCAAATCATCAAAACCTGGTTTGCAAACCTTTATGCAGTGTCCCACCATTTTTGGGAATTGAGGTTAAATGTAATTTTTTTTAAAACTGATGGGTTTTTAAGCTCAAACAGAGTTTTGGCTGAAGCATCAGTCAGGGGAGTGAGAGCTTCTGGAATATTTGTTTTGTTCTGGTTTATGAACCTGCATCCTTCACTGAGCTCATGTTGATCTGCACATATGAGACATCATGTTGGTGACAGCAGGCAGACAGTGAGGCCAAATGGTCAGCCATCTTTATTATGAAACAATATTGGGAGCAGATCAAACAGCGGTTACATGGTGGTTTGCTTTTGGCCACTGAAGTCCCTTCCCGTGTCCTGACACAACCCCGGACAGCCTGCCCTCTCCCAGCTGCCTTCAAGGCGCTCATTTCTCGGACCACCTGCCTCCTGATGCTGAGCTTCATCACATCTGCTCCTCCTACTCCTTCTCCTCCTCCTCCTCCTCCTCTTCCTCCCTTGTCCTGACGGCTCGGTCCCTCTCAGCTGGGTGGCCGACAGTCGCTGAGCTGCTGGACTCTGTCTCAGTGTGGTGAAGGGGCTCTGGTTCTGTTTCAGGTGCTTCTAACTCAGGGGGGACGTCTAATTAACTCCACGGCTTCTTCATCATCTTAACAACATCATCATCATCATCATCATCATCATCATCTCTACGACAAGTGCCAATCAAACTATTCAAAGTGGAGAAATGATTGTGGATGAGGAAAGGAGGCTTTCGTCATGCAGCTGGTGTGTGTGTGTTTAGAGCATGAGGGGACAGACTGTGTGTGTGTGTGTGTGTGTGTGTGTGTGTGTGTGTGTGTGTGTGTGTGTGTGTGTGTGTGTGTGTGTGTGTGTGTGTGAGGGCAACTGTAGAGGTGGACAACATGTTTGGAGTGTTTGGAGACTCATTTTTATCTCTTATTCTGAACATTTTCAGAAATAACAACCATGTATGGCCTGCCAGCGTGTGTGTGTTTGTGTGTGTGTGTATTTATGTGTGTGCATGCTTGATGTTAGTGTGTTTGTGTGTTGTGAGAGGGATTGTCCCACAGTGCAGGTGTAGAAGCAGGTCCTAGCTACAACGTCTCTTCTGTCCGTCTTGCCAGGTATGTTTTTATTTAAAGATAACTGATGATGGTGAAAACTTCAAGACTGGATCAATTCTCCTGCTGTGTAAAACTTAATCAATCAATCATGTCTATGTGAGAGAACTATTGAACACAGGAGCTGTTTATATGAAGGGAACAGAAAATTAACACAGGACTGAGTATTTCAATCTAACTCTTCATCTGAACATCAGCTTCCCTTAACTTTGCTTTTTCCATTTTCACATTAAGAAAGAGTAGAAAGTTAGAAATGATGGAGGTGTATGGCTGAGAGGGGGAGGAAGAGGAGGAGGAGGAGGGGAGGAAGCTGTCTGATCCACAGAGAGTCCTGGGTGTGTGTGGGGGGGAGAGGGGGGCTGAGGCTGCTGCTGCTGCCTGGCTTCAGCTGGGCGGCTCCGGGGCGAGACAGGTATGGAGGGACGACAGTGAGTGAGGAAGGGGGGTGAGAAAGGGGGGAGCTAGAGGATGATGGGTAATCTTTTTTTTTTTTTGAAGAGGGAGGGGGGGGTTGAGATAGGAGAGAAGAGGAGGAGAAAGAGACAGAGAGAGGGCTACACGCTCGTCAGGTGATCAGTCCATTGGCCGCTTTTCGCCGTGTTTCTTTGTAAACTCTTCAGCGTTCTTCAAGAATTTTTTACGGTCCTTTGAGTATTCTTCTGCTAGGTCTGCCCTCAGGGGGTGCTCCGGCTGCGGGTCGTTCACCAGTGCGATGAGGGACTGAATTACTGAAACGCACAGAGACACAAGTCAGATAGGCATGGCCTGAGCAGCAGAGAAAATGTCATATGAAAAAAGACAAGCTGGAGAAACTTTGTCCAAAATTCACTTAAAATGTTTGATAATCACCAAGTTTGATACGCCAGATAACAAAGAAACTCAACAACAAAAAAGAGATGGTAAAGTAATAATAATAATAATAATACATGTGAAAGGTACAAAGCTGCAAAGTTGGTCATATTTTTACTGTTCAATTCACAACCGCTTAGCCTCTTGGTTGACTTGTTTTTGGATTTTTTTGGTGGGTGACATCGTGAGTGAAAAAGACAAAGGCTGCACATCGACACCTACTGTAGTAGAAAATCTGCACTGACACTGCATTATTCTATCTTCTATTTATATCTTTATATAAACTTTTTAATTATGTGTCATTTAGAGCAGTGGTTCTCAACTGCTCTCACTCTTAACTGGTCCTTAAGTCACAACCCACATTTATAAAATTTAAACCAAGCAAATTTATTCTTTATAAAAATTTTTTAAAAACTTTGAATACTCAAATCTTTAACATAAATACACCCATTCTATGAGTAAAGTTTTCATGTTGACCACGACATACTGCGTGCCTGTCAAAATAAGCTATTTTTCAAAGTAAGAGACATGTCAAACATCAGATGCGCATTAAATATTTACTTTTTTGACCAGCTGTTCGGGACCCATCTAGAACGTGTCCGCGACCCACTTTTGGGTCAGGACCCACCAGTTGAGAACCACTGATTTAGAGCGTCATAAAAAGTAATTTGAGCAGGTCTACAGCCTGAACTGTCAATGCTCAAAGTTTAAACGTTTTTTAAGTTCTCAACAAGAGAGAGAGAGAGAGAGAGAGAGAGAGAGAGAGAGAGAGAGAGAGAGAGAGAGAGAGAGAGAGAGAGAGAGCGAGAGAGAGAGTGACATCCTTCATAAGGACTGCAGGTTGGAAAGGAACCAACAGTGTTTGCATTGTGGGAACGTTTTCACACATGTTGGAGAGACATTAACAAACACAGAGGAGACGTTACTCCACGCTTCTGAAGTTCACAAAGCCACATATTTACTTAGATCAAACAGAGTGGTGAGAGAGCATCTGACACAGCTAACCTCCAGCAGCTGTGAGCTCCATGAACAACAAGTTCCTCGAGTATGAGAGTCTCAATGTCCTGAAATGATCTGGGAAATGTCAGGAGTTCATCCATGAACGGGGCTTTTGTTTTAGGGAGGCTAGGGAGGAGGGAGAGGAGTGGGGCGTGGGGATGGGGGGTAGCTGACTAATGTTGGCCAGCAACTTTTTGATGATATTCTAATTTGTAATCAGGGTAATGTATTAATTGTTACTAGACACCACCGCTCTTCCTCCCTCACAGAGGTGGAACCATCACTGTTTGAACTCCTGTGCTGCTGACTGAAGGAGGAACAACACTGTTCCTTGATCAATGCTCTCACTTCCAACACAGATTAACAATAAAGAACAAGGGTGATACACTCACAGCATTAAAAAGCTTTGAAAAAAGAACTGATGTTAACAGAGAATGGCACATTTCACTTCATCACCAAGATCTTTAAAACAAAGTAGCATTTCCCTCCAGCTGAAGAGCGATTCCTGAGGAGAGTCATGGCCACCAATCAGCTGAGGAACAGGATGTGTTAGAAGCATAAAATCAGAACTCTGCCACCTTTAGATGATTATTATGGAGGTTATGTTTGCTAAGAAGAACTAAGGGGTTGATTCTGACTCATATCCCACCTCTACGGACTAATACTGATACTTACTGTTCAGCAGAGATGGTCCGGATGTTTCCTGATCTCTGTCTATAACACTCAATTATAATAATGTACCGTTTGTCATTTGGATGCAAGTCAACAAAGTACAAAGTACCCTATTCACCCCCACCTTTCATTCCTCATGCTGTCAATACTCATGACTCTTCCTTCAGCTGTATATTTAAATATATAAAGTTATACAGGGCACCATCATTTCACAATGTGTTTGTTCAGATTGTATATTGTTTTGATTAAAAAAAGTTTTGTTTTTTTTTCACTTATTCCTGTGTGACACAAACAAAATTTGGACAACTGTCATAGCCAAGTATGTGCTGAGATTATATTTCTATGACTGAGTGGCACATAAAACACACAGAACTCGGTCAATTTTCACAGAGGATTGTCTGTTAAGATCAGGGGCTGTTTGAGATGCTTGTATTTTCTGCCTTATCCCCAGCACAGGGCAGATGAAGAGGGACAGTCACCACAGCGTCCTCACACACCTGCTTCACCTCAGCTCTGCATGGTGCACTTTGCACAGCCTGAGATGTCAGTAGGACTGGGCGATAAAACGATAACGATATATATCCAAAATTAATTTCCCTCTATATCAATATAAAACATGGTCAATGTGCTTTTCAATAGTTGCCATGTTTTGGTAGACTATACAAAGCCAATAAACACTAATGAATGAAATGAATGAATGACTGACACGAAGACCTCAAGGATACAGTAGCTAATTGTTTTGGTAAAGACATGCCACCAATAAGCCCTGTTAAATTTCATTTAAGAGTAACAGGGAACATTTAAGATTGACAAGTGATTTTTTTTATATTGTGATATATATCCATAGACTGATATGAAAAAAGTATATTGTGATAAACTTTTTCCCATACCGCCCAGCCCTAGACGTCAGCAAACCTTCCATCATGTCATACACATTCTCTCAAATACATGCTGTAACAGACGCACACCCACACACAACTAAATGAGATTTATTTGTTTATCCATTCATTCATTCAGTCATTCATTTGTTTATGGCTGTCTTGCCACTGAATATGGTGACCCCAATATTAACAATAACTACCTTTCTTTATTGGACAGTACAGACTTCAGCTTATAGATCCTGTCTGATACTCCCAACATGACTTTAGTTTTGAATAACTAAAGAAGGCTTGATGTTTTTTCCTGTGCAAAAGAATAATTCAGGCGGATATAACATCAATCCATGCAGCAACATAACTTATACAGTGACCTTGAATTGTTATAATAACATCCAAGGCTGCAGGCACACCTCACCCTTTAGGATAATTAAAGTAAACACATTGATTTGTTTATTTTGTTATACCTGTGGATAGTTGAGGGAACTTGATTCAATCACTTTACACCCTACACCTCAATTAGTGCTCAGATTGTGCGCCACTTAACCAATCAAAACAAACTCTGGTCTGACACGCCCAAATTTAATCTGCTACACCTGTATTTAATCGTTTAAATAGCGCCCATGATGTCTTGTCGCTATGCAACAAAAATACCTTGATGAGTTTTCGTAGAGGTGTGTCTGCAAAGCCTACATGTTGTCAAAGCTAATTGTTGTGTAACGCACCTTGGTCAGTTTTGGTGGCAGGCTTCCAGTTCTCTGCGCTGATCACAGGCAGGCACACCTGGCCCTTCTCGTCAATGTTGGGGTGATAGATCTTTGTCTTGAATGTGATCTTGGGAGGCTTGAAGGGGTACTCAGTGGGGAAAATTATTTCAATCCTGAACGCACCTTTGTCATATGGAGGGTTGTCCTGGAGGTGAGGACAGGTGAGTGTTAAGTGAGGGAAGCCGAGTGATGATTTCACGTCTGATCAGTCTCACGTTCACGCACACACACACACACACAGACAGACAGAGAATACTCACAGGAACAATGAGCCCTTGCCATGACAATAGGTTTGATTCCTCGACTTGAATGTTTCTGAAGTTTTTCATTCCAGACCTGCGAATCTCCTCAAGTTCCTGAGAGAACCAGCAGACAGAGAGTGTTAAAAGTGCCGGGGGAGACGGGGTGACAGGTACACATGAGCTCGTTAAAAATAAATATCACTCCTTGACAATGACAGGGATGCTTTCTACTTCTAACTGCACATCTGTAGGGAACAAACTATGAATCCATGTTTGTTTGTATAGTTCTTTCTTGTACTGATTCCTCTATTTCCACCTGAAATGTCTTTTGCCAGGTCATACCCAGATCCAGTACCAAAACCACTAAGACAAATGAAGCTCAAATTACACTATTTTGCAGACTACATCAGAAAGCGGTCGCTATCACAGACAGTTCAACAACTAACTGGTTTCACTGTCTGTGAGTTAGTGAGTTAACCATTGCATACAGTATACAGAATATGACGTGGTTCGAACAACCAATCAGCTACTGATCAAATGAAACAGACTCAGTGAACGTGAGCCTGACAACGAGAGTGGAAGTGTCAGTTTAAAGTTTTTATGGTCTTTAGTAGGGCCCGACCGATTTATCGGCAAGCTGATTAAATCGGCAAATTTTAGCCCGTTTGAGACTAATCAGTAATCACCCAAAACTCGCCAATTTTAGCCGATATTTTCAGAAATAAAATGCGGAGAATAAGATTCGGTTTCACTTCGAAAACGTTCCGCCATTTGAAAAGTTCCCCAACTTATCCTGTAGATGGTGCAGCGACCTCATGGCAATCTTCATCCACTAACTTCCTCACAGCACAGCAGAGTGACAGGTCTGAAGCAGGCAGCTCAGGGACACACAGAGGAGAGTGGTCCACCTCAACGGTAAATAAACCAGTTTGTGAAATACACAATAAGTCAACAAGTTTCAGTTCAACCCACTTCACGATGTGTCCCGCTGTGCTGGTCTCAGTCACGCCGAGTTAACGGTGAAGCACCATGTAATATGCAAGCTAAAGTTAGAGTCAGCCATCTGCTATTAGCCTTGCTACACTGTTAGCCGTGCCAGTAACGGTAGAATAAACAATAGTAAACATTGAAACGTGATCGAGCTACTTCTCTTACTGAGGCAGCTGCATGTCTCCAGATGATACCGGACTGGAAATATGTAACGTGAGTTAAGACGCAGGGGCACCGATCGGAGGCGGCAGCGTAGTTGAAAACGCTTTACTGGTCGAAGTTTGATCAGTCGGCGTGAAAAGCAGTAACCTACAGTATATCTACAGTATATAGTATACGATAGATATCGATCCTTTTACTTACACTGTCTGGTCTCAACACTTGCTCAGGTGATTTTAGTGTTTTTTGCATTTATTGAAAGACTTAACTCATCTGATATCACTAATTAGAGCAAATTGTCTCCTGGTTGTTTTTGTCAGCTGTCATATACTGAGTGCAATTTGAAGCAGAAAACAGATACATGAGAAACTACATGTTCAGGATTCACCTGGCTGAATTCTCCAAGCATGGCCGAAAACTTTAGGGCATAACCACAAGTACCCAGCCAGATTACAGCAACAACAACGACCGCTATAAAGCAGCCTACAGTACCTTTCCAGGGGCGTAAAGCTAAGATAGCAAAAGAATATACCAAACACAGGAGAGTCTGTTTCATCAGCATTAGTCGCTCTGTTACTGAACTGTCAGCATCGCAGAAATATTTTGAATTAGAAAGAGAAAAAAGTCCACCAGCCACTCGCAGTGAACTACAATTGTTTAGGAGGATATCTAAAATCTAAATGTGCAACAGACACAGCACAGTGACAGAGGAGGGGCTGTTATCCTGAAACAACAAACTCTGGACTTTGTATATAAAAAATAATGTGCTGTTCTATTTTCTGTGCAAATGCAAGTATCAGATTGAGACCCAGTGTCTGTAGATGCTTATGATTCAAAAATTGGATGTGGATGAGCGGCCAAAAAGCTGGTCAAGACTCTGCTTTTGGTTGTGGGTGCTCAGAGATCAAAATTTTTAAGTACAGAATGTATCAGGGGGGAATTATAAACCACACTTCCACATACTACTTGGATACTTCCCTGTCATTATTCACCAGGAGGACTCATTTCTATTTACTGTTGAGAGCTGAATGAATCCTGTCCACTTCAATTATTTAGCCAGTAGGTCATCTTCTAAACAATAGTTTCATTTTGCTCTGTGAAACAGTGCTGTCTGCTGAGGTTCACTCTGCCTTTCTGTGTGTTTCCTACTTCTGTTCTGTAAAACTAGCAGGAGAACAAAGTCCGACAGATTTATGAGTTATGATCAGCCATAAACTTTACTGGGCTCATCTGTGCTTTTTATTATAACACTAGATCACAAAACAATTTTGGACTATATTTTATACGGTTTAAATCTAACACTCTTCCTTGATGGCGCATGTGGATACACTACCTGGAAGCTTTAAAATGTTTTTAACTGAGATCAAACTGAATCAATGGACAGATTATTCAATAACAAGCAACTCTTCAAGCCGGGACACCATTTATGACTTTTACTTTCACACTTCCTTATTCTATGAACTTCTTATGGCCATTCTCAGGGCAGAAGAATGAACTGGGTACTTCATAATGACACAATCTCCAAGATTTCTACATTTGATAGTGTCCAAAATACTGAAACTTTCAAAAACTAAAGATCTGCAGTGAATTTTCCAGCCCAAGTGAGCACAGCTAATGAAATTAAGCAAAATCCTGCCATGTTGTTTTGTTTATTTTACAGTGGTTTAGCTCTGACAAACTAACTAACAAGCCCACACCTCAGAAACAGCAGAAAACAGCTGGACAACAGCCAGGCTTCATCCTGTGCGCTGTATGTCTCTCTGCTTTGCCCTTTTCCACACATGCAGCTCTCATGCAGCCGCATCACTGCGAGCTCTTCTCGCTGTCCTGTTTGTGTCTTCTGAGGCTTAAAGGTACCTGAAGCTCCTACTGTGTTTTAACAAGCCACATTTCTCCCGCTCCTACAATAGTGTAATGTGAAATCACACACTAGAGCACCGATATGACACTTTTGAGGGCTTCAGTGTGCGCTGACGGACAGAAAATGTTCAGGGTAAGACAGGAAAACCACTGTGATTATAACAAAATGATGTAAGTAATGGAAGGATTGCATAGCATGATGCAAATAATATGATTTATTTCTTTTACTTTTGGTATAAATGCTGGCTATACCGCAACGCTCAAAAGCCATGTTACAACAACCTTGCAGATCCAGATATAACACTGATGTTACATTTACAGCGGTCTCATCTTTTTCCTAACATAAGCTCACATTCACCATGTCATCTGTTTATGTCACCCTGTCTTTCATTTCTCTGTGGAGGTTATTTATATGAGCTTTTTAACATATAATAATGCCTCTGTATGTTCTGTACCAATGCAGTGCCAACGCTTAAAACCAGTACATTGCTATGCAAAACACCTCCTGCAGTTACGAGCCCTCTTCAGCAGTAATACGATTGTTGTTCGCTGCCTCAGCACAACCCAACAACCGACACTCAGATGGAACAAGAAAGAAGGTCAGACACCAAAACGATCTAAAAACATCTGTTTGATTTTTAGAGTAAAAAACTCTGCATTGACGCCAGATCACATTTCACAGAACTAAATCAGCATAGTAACGAGCAGAGCCAGGCCTGGAGTCAACTGGCGAGAAAATTTCAAGTCATTGACGACAAAATGAATTAGAAGAAGCTCATCATGGAGGTGGAAAAGCACAGGAAATCATGAGGTCTAGGGACCCCAGCACTGCACTCTTTGAGGACAGCCAGTTGATGTAGATGGGAGCTGAACCACAGCAAAACTGGCACACAACACACACACAACCAGTGGAAGTTCTCACTCAGAATCACAGACTACAGTCAGGTCATGTCAACATCTTGACAGAGCAATACCTATGTTCCAGATCTCAGAGTGACACTGATAAAGGGCACATTGTGAAAAACTCACATAACTAGTTACGCTGACATTGTAAAGCCCCCGCGGCAAGACTGTATTTCAATAACAGAAATGTTGATAACACTCCTCAATCATTTCTGTTGCTTTCTTAAGCTTACTACAGTATACAATCATACTGAAACCTGGAATGTTGATTTGACTATGAGAGGTTGGAGCCGCAGTTTAGCCTTTCCTGTCACAAAAATGTCTGGACACAGCCCTGTCTGTACTGTACCACACATAAGAGGCACTCAAATAGTGTATGGTGAGTTCTGTGTAGTGGTGTCATTTGTTTTTATTGTTTTTGCATGACTTTATCAATCTATGTCATGGACAGATTTGACAGCAGCTCATAACCAGACAGTGAGAATAACCAATCACTGTATGACACCCTGGTTAGGATAGGTGAAGAGGTGTAACAGCAGCCCTTCCTCCTTAGCTCCCTGGTCACTGATAACTAGTTAAGATGGGTGAACAGGGAGAGGCACACAACAAAACTTTAATCATGTGCTAAGAGATAACAAAGCGCATGCGCATTGTGCCATCACCTCTTTTCTGAACGTCACTTAGCGGGCTAATAATGGTAACCGTGTAGTCATGTACAATGGTAAAGCCCGAATCTTTCCCCTGACAGTATTCGCACATGATACCTATTTATCACTAATTCTATCCCCTCCCTCCTCCTCTTAATAAAACCTGTCTGACTGTGAGCTCGGCTAACGGACTCGCTCTCAGTTAGCATTAGCTCAATCGCAGCTAATGCCTGAGGCTAGCAGGTTAGCTGATTAGCAAACGCCGTTATGAATCTCAAACGGTCTGGTGTTGTTAAAATATATATTTTCTCCTTTTGGTGATTAAATAAAACAATTCCCGTTAAAAGTTCGAGTACGACAAGAAGACAAAGAGCGGTTCTTGGGTCGTTTCGTGAAGACTGATCCGGGCTGTCCGGCCTGTGTTGCCGGTGCTCTCCGGTCTAACGGTTACAGTCGATGGGCTAACGTTAGGTGGCCACTGCTGACCTCTCCTTTTTTATTCACTTTACACATTAACAAGAGTGATTTAACGACTCTACAGAAAACAATAGAGCCCAAACGGAGCTTGTGTTGAGGTGTGAGAGCGTCCACTAGCCGTTTAAGCTCCCCGCGTACAACAGCAGAGCAGATAATAAGAAAATAACGGGATCTGACGGGAGATTTACCTTGGCCAGCCTCCTGCTCGCCGCCATCTTGAAACTACTGTATGTCCCACAATGCACCGCACGGCGAATATGGGTCTGCTGCTCCGTCACTCCAATGGATCTGATCGATCAAATTGGGTTGGATTTTAAATGGTCGTTTGAATACGAAGACACAAATTTTCTTCAAGGGATCCCTATATGCAGTCGTCTAAATGCAGTTTTATGACCCCATACAATACCACCTGTCATACTGAGTTTCTCTCCATTCAATCTGAGATTTAGGGATGATTACATACCAGGATGTAAATAAACTTGTAAAGACTGAGAACAAACAGTGATGCTGGAAATGGCCAATTTCACCTAAGGTAAAAGAAATTCAGTTCAGATTGATAAACAATATTTATCCTGCTGCTGAAAGTCTTAGGAAAAGGTTTAATTTTTAAATTAATCCATGTGTTTTTTTGTATGACAGAACAAGAAAACATTGAACACCTATTCTTCTCTTGTACGGTCACAATGATGTTTTGGAAAGATGTTTATCAATGGTTAAATATTGAGATTAATGACTCTCTGTTTAAATAATTTCAAGTGTTGATCTATATGAATGGTCTTAAAAAAAGGTATCCAAAATGGTAAACATTATTTTCATTATGGGAAAATATCATATACACAAGGATGAATGGAACAACAGCAAACCCACCATGAACAGTTTTACAAACGAAATTAAAAACTACATAACAGTGTTGTCAGAGGAAAATCAGTCTATGAATGATCTGTATCAGACAATGTGAAAGTCTCTTGCTTTTTAAATCTAATCCTATTTCTTTCTTGTTAATGTGTTATGGGTTTGTGCTGTTTTGTATGCAGACAGTTATTTCCTCAAATGAGTTCTTTGGAGAGTGTTATACTGGGAGACTTTGTCTGGGGTCCTCAATTCCCCCTGCTTAGTAATTCTTGTGTTTTGTATAGGAAATGGTTGTAAAGTCAAACCGTATTCAGTAATAAAGTAGCTACATGAATTTTTACTCAATGTTTTTATTGAATAAGGTAGGCCAGCTACTTGTGTGTATTTTGGAATTACGGATGAGAAACTGAAACTCTAGTTTTTCATAGTTGACATAAAAACGTATTTTTGCTGGCTAAAGAGTACTTCTCCAAGACACTAACCAGCTTTTGCTTCCATTATAACTTTTTTTTTTATGAAAAAGGAAACATTTTTAAATTTAATCTTAATATTTTACATGGATTCAGAGTGCAAATGGGCTGAAAAGTTATCACAGATACGGTCCTTTAAAATAGATAGATCTGGGTCACGTGGAGCACTTTTTAAATCTGGAATATTACACACTTGATTCCAAAAAGTGACTTAGAAGAGAGTGGTATGGAAGTGATGGCATTTAAATGGAATGAATGAGCTGATCAATGAATGGGTTGATCGATGCTTGATGAGCTGTTAATTTGGTCTCAGATTTTTTATAAAATATGAAATACATTTTTTGTTTACCCATCCGTCCTTCCTTTTTCAAATGGTTGGTTTGATCAACTTAACTCTCATTTAATGTTATTATGTCTAATCAATATCATAAACTTTCCTTGAAGTCATATCACATGTTTAAATTCAAGTTTAAGTCTGAAGCAAGGTTATTGTCATAAATAAAAAACTAAAACATTTTTTAAATGCCAGAATTATTCTCCAAAGATTCTCCTAAGCTGAAATAACTATAAGAATGATGATTTAGAAAAACACAATATCTAACTTAGACTGTATTGTCCATTGAAAAAGTAAAGAACAAAATGACAGAGAATATGTCCTTTACTTTCATCTTTGACACACAGCGACACACCTGTAGCAGCACCAGGATACAGATTTTGCTCTGACCTCTTCACTGCAGAAGTTGATACCATTTCTACATATTATTTTTTATTATACTGGGTACTTTCAAAGAAGTTGTTCGAGGTTTACCTCTAAACATTTACAACTTTTTGTTCACCTGCCAACTACTGATATCCTGACTTACACTGTCGTTCTCCAAATATTATCCTGTTCAAATCTTGGTATTGATGGTCAAGAAAAATGCATCTTAGGACGCTTAATTGGAGAGTGAGCAGCGCTCTACAAGGACATACTGTAGATCTTTGATAAATTTTCTTACTTTTACCTATGAGTTGAAGGAAATATGATTTGGAGCTGGCATCAAGACACAGAAATTGCTAAAGAAACAAAGGGCACACACAAAAAAATCCCTACCATTCAAATGAGGACAAAAATATCCCTATACCAAACCTGATAGCACAGCATTGAGCACTCTCATATTAGTCAGGCGAAATGCTGTGCAGTGGCAAGGTTATATAGATATTATTAAAAGTAGGATACATAGATAGAGCAATAAATAACTACTGAAATGACGAATGCCCTTCCTAATGTGTAACAAAAATTATATTTTCTCAAGAGTTGTCTCTAATGGGACAGCCTTTGATGCACTGATGTAAGGCACATGGTTAGTATTAATGTGTGTCCCTCTGGGTCACCTAGGTTGGGCACAGCTAGGGGTTTTAAATTAATGAGAAGGCCAATCATCAATGAAATATTGTTTATGATTCATTATGTGTTTGATTCTAGATCTGAAATCAGATTTTATGTTATTTGCCCTCAGTGTAGCCTATGTGTGAAGTGGTGATGTGAATTGAATTTAACAGCCTGGACTAAGGCTTGAGAATAATACTGTATAGGAATAAACATGTGGCCTCAAGAAAATATTTTCTCTTCATAGAACAGAGGCTATTGGACAATCTAGATGTAAATTATTCAAATTTCCCTGCATAATTTTATATTTATGGTCCTAAACATCACCCAAATGTCTAAAGCATAAAACAAGTGCCACTGGTGGTTTAGATAGAGAGAGGTTGGGAAAAAAAATAAAAATTAAAAAAAAAGTGTAACACTCCTGATAAGCGCTGGTCTGAGGGTCATTCTGGGGCTAGATCACGTGATTCTAGGCAGCGAAGTGACCCGGATGTAGTGTTGCTGGGCGGGTTGACCGGAACAACAAGATGGCGGGGAAAGAGGAGTTTCAGGTAGGCGAAAAGAAAAACACTAATGTTGACTGACTTTTATCAGTATCGAAACCTAAAAATAACAGCTGTTAATGGATTAACCATACAACACATGCACGTTAGGGATGAAAGAGCATTGTCAGGTCTTTTGTGATCCTATGGTTGATGTTTTTAGCCGTTTGTTAGCTTTAAGGCTAACAGTTTCTCCTCAGCTAACCGTCACTAACAGGTCTGTGTTTACTCGCTGTAACTAACGTCGACTCCAACCAAGAGTAACTTCAATAACCATATCTTATTCTTATAGGATCTTTGTTACAGTCATCAGTCACATCTTTGGTGTGTCGCCCGGCAGATTTGTATAGCTGCAGCTGTATACAACTTCTCTGTGTGTAGTTTTTGTAGTTTCGGGTTATTTGTATTTGTTGAAATGGCGAACAGTGTAAGGAAGGAGTGCCTTTGTTTTCTCATTGTATTGTAATTTTAGATATGGCTAGTTGAAGGGTCAGGACAAAGTTTGAAAAGAGAAGCTACTGTGTTGCCGACTGACATGACTTTAAATTAGTGGTGCAACGGATCATCATTGATCCGTGATCCGTTCGGATCGACGTGTTCGGTTCGGCACACATGTGATCCGCGGATCGATTTCTGAAAGCGGAGAAAGGAGGAGCTCGAACGCCCCGCGACACTTAAATCCCCTGTATGGGAGCATTTTGGCTTCCCTGTCAATTATGATGAAGAAGGAAAGAGGTCAGTGTACAAAACTGCGACGGAGTGTAGGCACTGTGGCATAAGAAAGCCATATGACAGTGGAAACACATCGAGCATGTTCACGCATTTGAAGCGACATCAGCCGGGTGTTTTACTGACAGGTGTTGTGCCGTAGATTGCACCCCTGCCATAGAACGCACCCCCTGCATCCCCTCCACCCGTTAGCTTCTTAAAGTGGAGATAATGATCTCATATTTGATATGAATAGCCTGAATGAAATTATTAAAGGCAAACGCTGTTGAATACATCCAACGTAAGGAAAACTTGTATTATTTCGCCTTGTTATGTACTTTCAACCGCGCTCCCGTTAGGGGGTGCACTATACGGCAGGGGTGCATTCTTTGGCATAACACCTGAGATAAAACGAAAGCTGCCCAACAACCGCTCATCACCGCAGCATTTAAGCAGCCTCTTCCTGCGCAATCCGACCAGGCTAAAGCTTTCACAAACTCTATCGGTGTGTTTATAGCTGCAGACATGAGGCCGTATTCAGTTGTGCAAAACGAGTGCTTTAAAAACATGCTGAAAGTGCTTGAGCCACGTTACGACATCCCATCGCGCACACACTTCATTTTTGGTTCATTGTTACATTTTAAAGGAAGGAGATATGCCTGTATATTGTACTTTAAGTTGTTTTTCATTAATAATTATGTTAAAAAGAAGATATTATGCCCTGTGCACTACTTTTATATATTTTATTTGTCTTGTTTTTTTTTCTTTTTGCTGATCCGAAAAATGATCCGATCCGTGACTCTTGATCCGAGGAACGATCCGATCCGTGAGTTTTGTGATCCGTTGCACCACTACTTTAAATAGCATGTACCGTCATTACCACGATGGTATTACAGATTTTTTAGTATATTTTTATATATATATATAAAGTTTATATACAAGTCAGTAGTATACACAGTATATTTTTGGTAAATATACTTGGGTGGCCCAGGTGGCATTCATGTATGTCATATACTAGAGCTGTAAATATTAAGGCTGGGACGATATGCTTTTCTCCCGATTCGATTCTTCTACGATTTTTTGGATGCAGATTCGATTTAAATTGTGATTCCACGATATTGTCAATTTTCTCGATTTTGAATCTACATTTTAAAACCAGTGAAACAGTTGAATGATTATGATTATCTACTGACTATTCCAGGAACCGTATTTCCCCATAAAATACACATCACATGTCAGTCAGAGTTTAAAATTTAAGGTCCTTACACTTGGGGCTTAATCACAGGCAGCCCAGTTTTTGTTTGTCATGTATTCTTGTTTCATTAAGTTTATTCAACATCTATTCTGATATTTAATGACATTGTTCTGTAATTGTAAGGTTTTTTGTAATGTATCTCTTTTTATGTAGAAGAAGTTAATCATAAAATTGTTTCTGATTTTGTACAATCGAATTCATGCTACCTCAAATCTATTTTATTGACAATTTGAACAGCTTTCACTGTTTACCAATGTATTTATAAGCAAGATTATTCTGGGTTTCTGTTTTGAAGACTGTCTATGTGCTGTAGTGCGTTTAAAGCTGTTAGATCAGCTTTTTAATCATGAACAGGCAAGTCACTGTTTTCTTCTGTTTGGAGAGCTCTATCTGACCTCTGATCTCTGTATACAGGAGTTGGTCCTGTAACACTCTGCAGCCTTTTGACAGATGAAACAACCGTCTGGTACGACACTAAATCCCAGCATGAATCTCCAGCAGCCCACCCCCCTCATCCCCCCCGTCCACCCTGATGTTCAGATGAAACCCCTCCCCTTCTATGACGTGCTTGATGTCCTGATCAAGCCTTCGAGTTTAGGTCTGTGATGATTTCTGTTTCTCTGCTTTATATATGTTTCTTTAGACATGGAGCTGTAGGTTTTACTTATATTCCCAGGGTTTTGGATATCCCTTAATATTGCTCTTAATACAGTAGTTGTATTTGTCATGAGTGAAATATAGTGAGAGGATGACTTAGACTGTGTTTGTAGTGAGCAGCATTGAGCTCCATAGCTGTATCTAGGAACAGTACACATCTTGTCAAGATTGCAAGAGTGTCAGGTTCTATTACTGCATTGAAATCTTGTGGCAGTGTCAAGATATGTCTTACTAAATGCTTTAAATCATACTGATATCCACGTGTGTCATGATTAATATTGTTTCAGGAGCAAGTACAGCACAGAGATACCATCAAGAAAAATACTTCATTTTTGCCTTGACACCACAGCAAGTCAGAGAAGTCTGCATATCCAGGTTGGACTGATTTTACTCATTTAATATAAAAGTGGATCACATGTGTCTGTATTGTTAAGTATGAATTAATGATCTGTTATCCTGGGTTTTCACAGAGACTTTTTACCTGGAGGCAGGAGGGACTATATGGTTCAGATTCAGCTGAGGTAAGTTTTCTGACCTTAAAATTAAAAAAAGCAATTGTAACAGGTAAATACTTGTTTCAATCCTTGTTGGACATAAGAAATATCATATTAGGAAATGATGAATGCTGGATGGCTCTACAAACAAACATTTAATTTTAATGTTGCTCTGAACATGGCATCAGAATATCCGCCATGAGTGTTTTCCTGAACATAGTTTAAGTTTTACAGTAACTCCTCTATTTAAACTGATGAGAACAGATTTTATTTTAATGCATTCATGTTAACTCTGTTTCTGTGCTGTCCAGGTTTTGTTTGTCAGAAACCAGTTGCCCTCAAGAGGATAATTACCCCAACAGTCTCTGTATAAAAGTCAACGGAAAACTGTTTCCTTTACCTGTAAGTTCTTTAGCCCTGTGAAAAAATAGTTAAAGTATTTCACCACACAGATATTGATGGAGCCTGTGACTCCTACAGGGTTACGCACCACCTCCTAAAAATGGCGTGGAGCAGAAGAGACCGGGTCGGCCTCTGAATATCACTTCGCTTGTCAGACTTTCTTCCGCCGTACCGAACCAGATCTCTGTCACATGGGCTCCAGAAGTTGGAAAAGTAAGGAGAAACCGTACATAGAAATAACTCTTGTTTTATATTTACATGAATAGAAGCAATGACCTTCCCTTGAATCTGTCTTTGCAGACATACTCCATGTCAGTGTACCTGGTGAGGCAGCTGACGTCTCCTCTGCTCCTACAGAGACTGAGGATGAAGGGCATCAGGAATCCTGACCACTCTAGAGCTCTCAGTAAATACACAACACTCTTACTGCACAACCCTGTGGCTAAACAACATCAAACTGTGACCACAAACTGCACCTACGCATTAAGGCCCTCTTTGGACCCAGCACAATCGCTGAATCTGGGTGATGGGTTCTCAAGTGAAATGCCTAAACTTGAGTTGTAAATGTGCATCAGTGCATGCTGAGATCCAATCCTTCAGGTTTTCAAGGAGGCATTTATCCACATAAGTCTGACAGTTTATACTCTTATATGTGCGATTTTGACACCATGCAGTGACTTCCACTGCAGAGTCATGTCTGTTGAATCTTTTCATCATGTAATGTACCACAGATGATGAAGTCCCCAAATCATTTGACATTTTATTCTTGGGAACATTATTCTGAACATGTTCAGCTTTTTGCTCATTCAGTGTCTCACAGATTGACCTCTCTCATCTTTGCTCTTGTAAACTGAGTCGTGTGACTAACTTTGCTCTTTGTATTTGCAGTCAAAGAGAAGCTGACAGCAGATCCAGACAGCGAGATTGCTACGACCAGCCTGAGAGTCTCACTTATGTGTCCGGTAAGACAAAAAAGAAATAAAACAGATGTGTAGTTTATTTTTCAGATATTGACTTTGAACCTGAGCTGGGAGTAACAAAGCATGGAGCACTGTATGTTAATGTGGTGTGAAGTGGGTGGATATATTGGTGTTCATGACTTTTAGTGCTACTGTTTGTTTTTCAAATTGACCACAGGGGGGCACCAAAGTTGGAAATTTTAACCACCATGGGCTCTGTAACAGATGGCTGAATTTCTAATCCTCATACAGCTCTTTGTCTGAAATAAATCATGTGACATGTTCCACCCTAAGTCATGTGTGTCCGTCTTGTGTCCTTGGTACGGTCTTACCTGGGTGTGTGTCGTGTCTTGCAGTTGGGGAAGATGAGGCTGACAGTACCATGCCGGGCGGTCACCTGCTCTCACCTGCAGTGTTTCGACGCCGCGCTCTACCTGCAGATGAATGAGAAGAAACCCACCTGGATCTGTCCTGTGTGTGATAAGAAAGCGGCGTATGAGAGCCTCATCATTGACGGGTCAGTTCCTCATTCACACACACAAAAAATGACCTCACTGATGAACCTTAACATCGAGTGAGTCTCAGGCCTTTTATTTCTGAATCAGAAATACATTATAAATGCTGGAGGAAATTCAGCCGACACATACACAGTATAGATGTAAGAAAATAAATATTTAAAATAGAAATAAAACAGAAAATGAACAAGGAATGATAGATTGGAACAAGTACTCATTCTGTACTACTGTAGAAATATGGAGCAAGTTAGCGGCCTCTATGGAAAGGGATTTAATCTTATGTAAAAGTAAAGGTCTCATTCTAAATCGACAAAAGTAAAAAGATTACACTAATTTAAACATGCTTATGATGAATATTATATCCCATTTCTACCGAGTTTGATGGGAAAATGCCCAAAATGCTACTAAATAGTGTACGCTGTACCTTTAAATCTGATCTATGACCAAGAACTTTTGGAGCTTTATTCACACTGCAGAATAAAGTTTCCAGCTAAAGTCTCCAATGGTCATGAGTCTGTCAGCATCTTCTTAGTCAACCTGTGTTAGATCAGATCGTTCATGTTGTCTTGCTCTCTTGTTCAGTTTGTTCTTGGAGATCTTGAACGACTGCTCAGACGTCGACGAAATCAAGTTCCAGGAGGACGGGACTTGGTGTCCCATGAGACCAAAGAAAGAGGCCGTGAAGGTGTCCTCTCAGTCCATCCCAAAAATAGAGAGTAAGTGCATCTTTTGAAATGTTCTATCATTTGTTTATAAGCACATACAGTTCACGAAACCAGAGCTTGACTCAAATTGAGCAGGTTTCTTTTCTTTGGTTTAAGTCAAAAAATTTTGTCAACATGTGTCCCTTTACATTTCAGAAGCACTCACCTCTGCTGTATATTCAGTGTATGTGAAGTATGACTGTCTGTACATGATCGTCTTGTCCCTATCTAAGTAAACAACAGAAACTAGACCAATCAGATGAGAGGGAACACCAGGAGCAAAAGGCACGAGAAAAAAGCAGTGATTTTAGACCACTCTTGAAAGAACTTCAAGTTTCTGCAAATCAAGGGGTCACTCTTTCCACAGCACAGCACTATAGAGACTGAATGAACCTTTACCTTTTTTGTTTTAACCTGAGGTACAGTCAGGAGGCCCATACCTGATGATTTGAGGGATCTGATTGGATTAGAGTTGACCATCTAACAATTTCAGAATAACAGCAGCTCAGTGCTCGATCTGTTTCCTCTCAGTGTCTCCTCCTGTGCGTCAGTCCTCCGTAATCCCTCCCCCGGCTGAGCCCAGCTCCACCAAAAAGACTGACGTGATCGACCTGACCCAGGAGAGCGACTCCTCTTCCGACGATGAGGAGGAGTCAGACCCCCCGCTGAAGAAACGCTGCATTTACATCTCCAAGACTGAGGAAATACCCACCAAGGGGTGAGTGATCAACAGACTCTGTAGTTTTAAATTATAATCCACAGATCTGTGTGTGGTTTTCACCTCAGTGTTTCATGTCTCCCTCAGAGTGCTGACCTATCAGCCCACAGTACGTGTCCCAAATGTCCAGGCGCTGGACCCGACCTACCTGACATCGACGCTCGCTGACTACGCAGTCCCCTTCCATCCATCCACGCTGGCTACCATCCCCACAGACATGCAGAGTGAGTCAGCTCATACAATGTGTGTTTACACGGTGTTTGTCACTGTGTGGTGCTGTTATAATGTGTTTCCTGTGTCTTCTATCTGCAGGTCTGGATTTGTTTTCGCTAATTCAGGCAGATCCACAGGTAAGACATCATTTATACATCATTGTATCAGGCTGACGATAGCAGCTTGTACAGACTTAAACCGACAGAAAACTGATCCTAATCTCGGTTCCGCTCCTGGTCTTGTTCCTCCCTCAGCACTACCGGCCTCAGATGTTCCTGGATAACCTGACGAGCAGTATGCAGAGTGCCGCCAGCACCAGTTCTGCACTGGTCTCATCCTCCAGCGGGCATTATGAGTCCAGCTCCCACTCTGGCCCCTCCCTGCACGAAACACGGGTCATCACAGGGGGAGGGGGGACGTCAGGGGGAGCGACGGACAACAGCATTTCAGATATCATCTCATTAGACTGAACCACAGCTCAGTGGATCCTCTCCAGACTAAACCTGCAGGATGGGAGGAGGCTCACAGATCGGAACGGCGAAGCTCTGGGATGGATGATGTCCTCTTGATATACTTTCTGCTGTGACAGGAAGACACATGGTTTAAAGAGTCAAGAAAGTGTTCCTCTAACCTCTACTGGTTCGCAGCAGCAGCTCACAGACCTCAACTCTGACTCATGCTGAGAACTCACCACTGTCAGCCCTTCATTCGTTTTTTGTTTTTTACAAAATCCAGATCAGCCATCAGTCACGAGAACTTACAGAATCATCGTTACCTGAAAACATCGACTCTAGGATGCTGTTTGGCAGGAGGAGGGATATGTTCACCTCTCCTCTCTGAACTCTGCAGAGGTTCTCCATCAAGACTATAAACACCTGAACCTTTTCTTTTTCACCTGTGATTGAATAATGAAACAACAAACTCTGTTTTTATACCAGTTTTGTGTGCTCACACCTGCAGACCTGAGCTGACGATCAGACGCTCAGAGTTCCACACAAAATCATGTCAGTGGATGGTTTGAAGGCAGGACCTAGCCCCTTAGACTGATATCATCCAGCGGAGGACTCTGACCTGCCCTGTATTTCTGTTTCTGTCTCTCTTTGTTTGCCCTTCAAGGCCACACTCGGCTTCTCAAACACTAAAGAAACAGGTCAGAGCTGACGATGGGCTCCTAACTGTTACCAGGACGATTCAAGTTCACACCAACCCTTTCATGCTCTTTTGTAATGTAGTCAAAGCAATAATGTTTCAGCAAGTGTTGTTTTAAAATTAAACTGTTAATGTAGTTCAGATGTTCGAGTGATCACAGAATCCTCCCCTGTGATTGGTCGAAGCTAACAGGATGTTTTTTTCCTCCACTAAGACAGCAGTTTTTACCGCTAACAGGGTGGAGGAAAAAAAATAAAGTCTGGTCGACCAGCAGAGGGCGCTTCTCTGGATTCTGAGATCACGTGACTAGTTTAGTTTAAACTCCAGACTCATTCACCCCACCCAAAACTTGACCTTTAGTTTGAAGTATCTCGAACCTCTCTGCTGGGTCTTGGCCCTGAGGAGGACATCAGCGATGCTCAGAGTTCACACCCGCAGCCTCTCATAGTAATGGGAAGTGACTAACAGGGCAGCTACCGTTTCACACATTCACACTCGTAATCTGATCACTTCATGTGTGTATGTGTCCATCAGAGCTTCATCTCAGGGACACACACACTCGACTGAGCCTGATGGGCACAAAAGCACACAAAACCCACACATGCACCCACCCACACACACTGGAGGTATTGGTTTCATACAGACGTGATGCAAACAGATGTTTACATGTTGGATCTTGTGGAGACGATTTTGCGTTTCTGTTCGCAGGTTTTCAGGTTTCAGTCTCATTGAAAAAGAACATGTTTTTTTATCTAGATTGGCAAAATGGGAAGTTTGTCGTCTAAGTTGTGAAAAATGCTTTACTAAATTTCCAGGGGTCCTAAAATTTGAAGCGCTTCTTTTGTCAAACAGTCTTGGTTCACTGTCAGATTTGAGTAGATTAAAACATATTTCATGTTTGCATCAAGACTTACAAAAAATATTTTCACACAATTCATAAAAGTTGAGTGTGATAAGTGTTGATTTCACAAATCATTTTAAGTCTACATGTAATTGGAAATAGTGCAAGAGCAAAGTTGTGAAAACTGAAAATATATCCTCATCTTAAATTTGATGCCACCAGTGCTTATTTAAAAAATGCAGACATCAAATTCAAAATGAGCATTTTCTCTCATTTTTGAGTTTTAACATCTGATATTTTGTCTTAGTGGTATTTTCAATCATAAACATGGGTTTACAATGATTGGCAAAACTTTTAAAATCTTATTTTATTAAAATTTTATACATTTCCAATTGGAGTTGTATATTAACTGAGATAAAAGTTTAATGACACTGTCCAAGTGTTTGTGCTGAACAACATAAAGCTGTTAAACATGCAAAAGGAAACTCCCCCATATGCTGAATCTGTAAGACGCGGACTTGTGTGATGATTGAGTTATTTGCAACTTTCCTTTGAAAATGTCCTCCATTGCAGCTCTGATCTAGAGTGAACATTGTCAAAAAAAACTTGTAATTTTTTGTGTTTTGTGACTGAAATCTTAAAACCAAAATCCCCCTGCAGAACAGGTTCTTTTACAGATGCAGAAAACATGCTTTTGTCTTCTGGTGATTTATCTATTTGCTGAGTAAAATCATGAAACATCCACCACACACACACACAAACACACACACACTTCACAGAACATAACACTCAGTGCCACCCATCAGAGTGTGTTAAGTGACTGTATATGTTCTGAAAACCTGTCCTGCTTTTATATATTTTGTATTCTTCAGACTTCATTCAAACAACAGATTACTCTTTTTTTTCTGTGACTCCATGGTGACTAAAAAAAATGGTCTGTGTTTTTTTGTTTCTGTAAACTTTCAGCATTTTTAGTCCTGGTTCCATGTGTCTTTTTTTTTTTACCATTAAAACTTTTCCTTTTTTATTCTATTTAAATCTGCCTCTCTTTGTTTTCTCTATAGAATATTTCACAAAGGTACTAATTCAAGACATGCTGCTGTTAAGATGTGTTGAATTGGTCCTCAGCAGACTGAAAATGAATGAACCCCAAGATAAGAATCACCTCTCCTGATGCCTGTTCCTGCTTTTTATGATGTTTAGAGCAGCACTTAGGTGGTCACATGTTTGATCATAACAAAAGAATAGAAAAGAACTTGAGTGGCTTCTTTTTGTATGTTAAAAGCAAAAGTTTATCTTTGAATTGTTTTGGCAAAGATAAAAATCTATTACCAAAAGGGTTCACTTCACTGTGAGAGACTGCGTGGGCAAATAGTTGAACGATTTCAGAGAAATATTCCTCAGTACATAATATCATTCAGAAAATCTGGGAAAATCTCTGAACAAAAGGCCTAAAACCAGTATCATATGGTGACGAAACAGACATGGCCTTATAGTACATGGACTGTGGGGTAGTTGGATGACCATGGCGAATGCTACTGGTGTAAGCATCATTGGATGCGTGAGGGTGTAGATGTCAGTATGGAGACACAGGCTCAAACCAATGATGCTAAAATTAGAGAAACAATATTTATTCCTGTCAAGCCAAATGTCACACACCTATTATTGAATATTTGTATATTTAACTTTCCTCCTGTGTTAGCTTGTGCTATGCACCCACTATGTTAAATCAGCTGTAAATTATACTAAAAACAATCCAATATCATCCAATTTGGTTCTCATCTCTAGGTTACTTTGTTAGGCTTCATTACCCATGAAAATATGGCTTTTAAAATTTTTCTTGTGGGCCTTTTGCACTTTCTTTGTCAGTAAACCCCTCATGCAGACATCTATATTGAACTGATCTCACATGTCTGGACATGCCCAATGTTGTTTTTTGTGCGGAGAAAAAACAGGCAAAATAAGAATTTCCTAAATCTCACATGATTGGAAGAGGATCTGACTGTAAGTGTGGTGCCTAACAGTGTACGTATGATTTTAGTTTTTGCTGTAATTATTAGATATTAATCTAACCAGGTCAACAGCGGCCCTAACATGACAAAAGAGCATTTCATAATTTATTGGATTTAATTTATTTATCAGTATTTTGTTGAAATAGAGGTTTCAGACAAAGTCAAAAAAGTCTTGGTGCAAAAAAGCTAATTTATGTGATTGTCTTAATTCCTGTTCAAGCAGTTTTAATCTGTACAGAGAATAGATATTCTGTGCTCCTTCACCAGGGGGCAGTACAACCTCAGGCAGAGACGATCACTACGGCTGATTAACACTTGAAACATCAAATATCATCTTGAGGATCTCCAAATAATTTCTGGTAAGCAAATGATAACTTTAAAGTATTTTGTCTCTTTTATGCTTATTGTTCATCGCTATGGAGAAACTGTTTCTTGCTTTAAGGTCAAATTGGAGTGGAAAGTGGTCCCCCACCTCCTGCAGTCTAAAGTAAAATAACCAATAAATCAGAAGTTTATACTCTCAGACTCTGACCGACTGACGTGACTTTCAGTGACATGACACTTTGTCCCACAATGACTGACCATCAGCGGCTGTTTCTAATCTTTAAAATGACCACCAGGCCAAATTCATCATCGTTTGGTCAACTTGTCGGCTCAGGTGACAGCAGGGGAGGAAATACAGGGGAGAAAAAGGGAGGAAGTGTGGGGGTAGAGAGAGGGGTCAAAATGGGGTAAAAGTGGAAATCAGACCAGGCTGTCAGACTGAAAGAAGGTTACAGTAGGCCTATTAAAAACGTCCTCAGGTGATTTCTGTCAAAACAGCAGCAGAAAAGGGTCACACAATGACTTCACTCAGATTTAAGGAAGTATGAAAGGGTAAGTTTTATTTTTCACTTATTTGATGTAGTTTGGCTGACAACTTGTATTGTCTGGAGCTTTTACAAGTACGAGTCATCATGTTAAGACATTAAGCCAGTTTAAAAATAAAAGGGAAATTCATAATTTTTAACTCTTGGAAAGTTTCACATACATGTGTGTGAGACATAGAGATGTTGTGCTGCAGCTGATCACACCGGGCTGTGGGGTCACTTTTTCCACAGGATCAGGATGTAAGAAATTGTTGGATTCACATGTAGGCCTAAATGTAGGAACTTAACCCGTGGTTTAATCCAGTGGTTCTCAACTGGTCTCACTGTGGGACCAACATTTTCTCATGGTCCTTTAGTCGTGACCCACTTTTATAGAATTCAAACCGAGTGAGTTTATTTTTTATAAAAAGTAGCTATGATAAAAAAAAAAGGCGTAAAGATATATTTAACATAAATACACCTGTTTTATTGAGTAAAATGCATTTCAGAGCACATGAACTGAGGACAACAACTACTAAAGTTGCATATACAGAAAAGATCAAATAACACAAAATGGAGACCAGCAGAATGAAAAATTTGACTTATATGCGTTTCAAAATAAGCTATTTTTCAAAATAAAAGACATGTCAAACATGAGACGCGCATTGAACATTTACTTTTTTGACCAGCTGTTCGCGATTTGGGACCAACCAGTTGAGAAACACTGGTTTAATGTGATGTGTTTTTTGCTTTTAGATGTGGAGAGGAGACTTTCAAAACGAGTTACTGCCATGAATGCAAATAACAATATGGCATATTTTGAGTGAGTAAAAATGACCAGCTGACTAAAATATTCCTTATCACCATTTGAATTCCCTTTAAAATCTCTACTTTGTGATAGTTATTCATAACCACTGCGCTAAATGAAGATAGCATGCAAATTCCAGGACCACTCTTACTGACCTTATTCGCCTACATGCAGCATTTAAATCCACCCAAACCTACTTTACCCTCTATCACTATTGCCAGGTGAAAATCACCCTGTGAACACGCGCCTGTAGGAAAAAGCGGGTTTTGAATCATGGAAACAAATAAGTCTTCAAAGATGTCAAAGGCAATGCTGAAGCTACCCAGAGACCCATGATACACAGACAAACACAACATAATGAAAATCACATAAACATGTTTGGTCGGGTGAAAATCACCAGGCGATAGTGTTCTAGGGTTAAAAGAGATTCAGTTTACATGTGAAATAACAAATCATACATTTCAACACGACGACATCCTGAAGTCTGATTGCAGTTTAGACATTAAAGAGTCTGACAGACCTAGACTCAAAGACAGATCATCAGCCAAAACACAGCTAAACTTAACAACAACAACAAACCATTCAGAGCTGTAATAGGTCCTCAAAAAGACCGTGGATAAAACACACACACGTCATTCTGAAAGGTGGAGGAGGCAGGAGATCCCAATTAGAGTTGGATGAAGCAGCAGAGGATGTTGGTGAGGTGGCTGTGAGACTTGTTAGCTGTGTGCTTGTGTGTATTGTAGGGGTAGACTTGTTACCTGTCAGCCTCATTTCTTAATAAGGAGACAGATGAATTAAGAGTCCTGATGGTACATTTGTCACTTGGGAGAGCTTTATGTTTTGTTTTTGAATACTAAATGTGACTTTATCTGACAGGGGTTCTGTGCGTTGCTGTAATTGTATCCCGTACACAATGTGTGAGTCGGTTTCCATTACAAGAATCAATCCAGACTGTGATTCTGACCAAGAGAGTCTAGCAGAGGAAATCACACCAAACTGTTTGATACTGTGGAGTTTGCAGCAAACAAACAACTAGGAAAGACTTTAATAGAGGAACTGCCAGTTATGGAAAACGCTTTCACTAAGAGTTCAAGTCCTGAAAGATTTCTTCCAACTCCATGTGGAAAGCTTCTTTAGCTTCAAAACCAAGTCAGTTTCAAATCTTCCTTTGACCAGCAACAGTTCTTGGTGGAAGTTTCTGTAACTCAAGTATGAGGTGTTCACGCCCACAACAAGCTACCACAATGACAGGTGAAGATAAAGACAACGACAGAGGAGACTGAGGTTCAGGTAGATGATAACAATGAGATGATAACATTCGGTCGTGATGGATCTTTCTTTTGGTTGAGCTTTGGTAGAAATTTGTGAAGCACTGAAGCTTGATGTGGGTAAAATGAGAAGGGTAGTCCATGATCATCCTGTCTGGAAAATCTGAAGCCTGTGGAATGAAACAACTCATCATCAAAGGATGAGGTTTTTTCAGGGTGATGTAAAGGAGACTCCTGCCGATCAAACTTTAGGTCGTAGAAGTTTCTCATCTAGTCCGCAGGTGCTTTTTGGTATCTCCGGATATTATTCATGAGGCGCCTTAAAGGGATATTCCAGAATAAAATTAATTTAGGGTCAAATACACGGTAACACTGAGTTAGACACCCCCTCGAGAGATGAATGTTGCTGACCGCTTGCTTCTCTAGTTATACCAACTTTAGAAACGACCGCATGAATACACAGCAGTCTGAGGAGCCATAAACAAACCTCAACCAAAACACTACTCTACAGCCACAAATAATGCTCAGAACAGCACCTAACTTCATCAACAGTACATATAGGGTCCCAGCCATAGTACTAGCTACCAAACATCTTTTTAACTTTGCCTCATTTCTTAAGCAAAGAGATAAAACACGACTCACCTATTCTCTTCCAGCAGCTGCTTGTTTGTTGCGAGACCTCAGACCAGTCCAGTACGGACTACTGCGGGGTGACGCAGCTCAAGGAAGAACATTTATGATCATTTTTTCATAAAAATGCAATCAGACTGAGACGCTAAGGCAGAAGAACTACCGTGTCTGCAGTGCAAAATGATTAATATGGTGACTATTGCTTCAAGGAAATGATAAAGTAATAATCATAAATTTTCTTCTTTGAGCTGCGTCACCCTGATGCGGGGTCTCGCAAAAAACAAGCAGCTGCTGGAAGAGAGTAGGTGAGTTGTGTTTAGTCTCTTTGCTAAAGAAATTAGGCAAAATTAAAAAGATGTTTGGTTGCTAGTGCTTTGGCTAGGACCCGATATATACTGTTGATGATGTTAGATGCTGTTCTGAGCATTATTTGTGACCCTAAATTAATTTTACACCAGAATATCCCTTT